GGGGAGTTTCTCAAGCCATAGGATTTAGGATATGGTTTTGGTGATTTGGGGTGTATATTTATTCCAGTCTTCTCCAGGGCATATAGGCATGAATCAGTTTGTATAACTGCCTTGGCAGACAAGGAGACTGCTTGGGACAGGGCAAGTGTTGCATGTTGCATGGTCAGTTGAATAGATGGGAGCTTCAGTTACAGCTCTGTGCTGCATAGAATAGAACCAGCTCTAGTCACATGAAGCTAACAGAGAAAATCCTGGAAGGATATCATGGAATTAAGTCTGGTGATTCAGGCTTAGAAAGTCACAGAATCAAGGTAGCTCTGGAGACTTGGCACAGAGCCTATAGAAATTCATGGCTTGGGAGCAGTCTGGCCCTAGCACTACCACTGGCCCATTATTTGCTCAAATCTCCAGTATTCCCTCTTATCCAAGATTCAAAGTCCTGGGAGTTTCAGGGTCTGAGTGGTTGACTTGAAATAATTTGCCCAGAGATAGGATCTGAATTCTTCAATTGTAATGGCTGCAACAGAAGGCACACAAAAAGGCACACAAATTCCTCACACAATGGGGAATTTGCCCCAAAGGAAGATGGTAGTACTAACAGGAAGATGGCAAATTAGATATTATGCTGTGAACAAGGAGAGATGTCATTGTACTGACATTAAAATGCGAGATGGGATGCGGTTGGGGCTGGTTGCTGGTCAAGGATGAAGGAGAGAGTTGGCTCCACAGTGTAGTGGTTAGCACGTCTGCTTTACACGCAGAGGGTCCTGGGTTCGTGCCCCAAGTGGAGCCATGGACCATATCCTGGGTGCACAAGCCCCCAGTTGCACCAGCCCCAGGTTGCACGCCTCTAGCATGTGAGAGGAGATGCCCTTGTGTGTAGGAAGAGACGCCTTGCCTTCAGAGATCCAGTTCTTAAAAAGGGAAACTGCAACATCCATAGGTCAGGGATGGAAGGGCAGGGGGGATATTAAAGAGGGGAGGAAAAAAAGGGTGAAGGAGAAGGGTGTCCTTTCAGAGGAAGGAGACCGTGGGGCTCTGCCCAGAGAGCAGGAGGAGAATCCTGGGGAGGGGAGAATAGAACTAGAATGATGAACAGCAAAAGAATAGGTGTTTCATGGTGTCCCTAGGCTAACATAGGAGCCCAATAAATATTTGCTAAATAAATGACAAAATGGAAATCTAAATCATGCTATTCAGATATGAGACTGAAGTTCCTCTGACTGGATGAGGTGGAGAGTGTGTCCTCACAGAGGGTGACTCATCCTTTGGACTAGCCTGGCTAGTCACCCCTGCTCCTCAGATTTTTCCATTTCATTCTGGAGCAGTGACCTTAAGCCATCACCTAGTGTGGGGCTGGGGGTGGGGTGGGTATCCTTACTCAGTCTGAATCAGAAGAGCGGGGTGTACCTGTATTCAAAATCTCCATGGACTTAGCCTTGGGCTTTCCCAGACTTTAGCCAGACTGCAGTGACTGCCTTATATTCCAAGGAAATGTGCTCCTCAATCTGGGTTCTCAGGTGAGAAATCAACCCTCAATTACTGACAATTATTTGCCTCCTTTTCCAGAAGAATCTCTTTTTCCTCTCCCCCATGCAGAGCAGTACATTACAAGAGCTTGGATTCTGGTTGCCGTATAAATCTGGGTTTGAACTTAGGTCTTCTTATTTGCTCACTGTGTGACCTTATCAAATATTACCTGAGCCTACTTCTTCCTCTGTGAAATGGCAAAAATATGCCTTTCAGGAGCATTTCATGAAAATGTACGTAAAGGGCCAAGCACATACAAACTGCAGGGCATGGTGTTCAAAAGATAGACATCAAAAAGTTCAAGATATCACCTCTTCTCCCACCCTAGGTTTTTTTTTTCCACATAAACACTAGTTATTATCTCTTTATCAAAAAGAATTTGTTAGCTTGTAGGCAGCCCCAAGGGTAAGACATATTGTCTAGTGGATACAAATATCAATTTTTGAGGATTATGTTATTTTGCAACAGACCTGAAATAATTCCTAAGGTACTATCAGAGCTTAAATGAAATCTTCCTTAAATTCTTCCAATTCTTATTTAGCCTAAAAAATATAACTGGTTAGGTACACAAATATGTTATGTAGAAGGATGGTCACTGCAGTGTTGTTTATAAAAGCGAAGTTTAGAATCAACTTAAATTATAACTATAAAGGATTATAAGAGAAAATAAATTACAGCAATTTTTTTTTTTTATGGTAGAACTCTATGTAGTCTTGAAGAAGATTCTGTAGAAATATATTCAATCTCATGGAAAGGTGCTCTTCCTGTATTAAGTGAATAAAATAAATTATAAAATAGCATTATAATGTGATTCCACTGTTATTATATGTATACGATAATGAAGGGGATATATGTTAAATGTTAACAGTGCTTTTCTTTGGGTGTGGGCGTATGGTTAGCTTTTATTTTTATGCATAACTACTTTCTAATTTTCCCGCAATAAACACATAAAATACGAATATAAAATAGGAGAAAATGATCATGTGATCCTTTTTGCCCTAATTTTAGATTCTCCACAAACTCTTTTGATTTGGTTTCTTCAAAGCCATCTCTTAAGAAAATATAGGGACAAAGTTATATGCCATTGAAAAACTTAAAATAGATATCAAAGGCAGTCTTGATTTTTTTCGCACACGAAAAGGGGTGTAAACGAAGGGGAAACAGTGCCCTTACTCTGTTTGTTTTTTTTTTTTTTTAAATTTTATTTTTACTTTTATCAGCATTTACCCCTGGGCCGTAAGTTTTGGTTTCTTCAATTTCTTCTGGGATATCTTTTTCTTCTGTGCAACCTCCTCTTCTAGATTAGGAACAATCGACTCTTTTTCAGTGAGGATCATCTCAATGCAGCAGGGAGAGCTCATAAGGGGGTTAATCTGTCCACTGAGCTCTGTAAGTTCTGTGGACATCTTGGGAACTTTGTTCACCTGGATGCATTCAATGACCAGAGAATCTACATCTAAACCCTTAAATTCAGTATCACTCTCTACATTTTTAAGCACGTGCAACAAAAATTTAGCGCTCTTTTTAGGCTACCAACCCTGGGGCCAGCCCCACTGGCCTGGGCACACTTACCAACTCCCCTATTTTTAATGATGGAATGGCACATATTGCATCTGTAAAGTGATATCCTTCGAATACTTGGTGGCTTTTCGGATATGCATACCCTTGATGGCCTGGGCAGTCACATGAGTGTTCTTAAATTGAAAGAAGATTCGAATCTCTTGATTTGCATGATTTTGTGAGGTTTTCTGGGTTAAGTGAATGAATAGCTAACCATAAACAACCACCTTAGGCTGCTTATGGGAAAAAATGTTTTAAGCAGGGCCGAGAGGACCAAACTGAATCGAAGAGAGTTTCTCTTAACTGCCCTCCCACCAGCTTATTTCCTTATTTCCTTCCTTCCTTCCTTCCTTCCTTCCTTCCCTCCCTCTCTCTTCTTCATTTCCCCAGAAACTGCAGATAGCACTGTAGCCTTCCCTCAGGTGACACTTTGTCCAGAGCCTTTTTTCTTGTTCCTACCACCTGCAGGATGAGATACTCAAGTCACCAGCCCAGAGAAATTATCCTGATGGCTCTAGAACCTAATTTTCTCCGTATTTATCTCAAAACTGGAAAAAGGGCACAGGGTAGTAAATACAATCTGTCCCTGGAAAGATATCTATCTCTCCTGTTATAAAATATTCTCCTGATTTAAAAATGTTTCCTGAGAATTTGCCTAGCATGAATAATCCCTAGTAAACTGATAAAATGCCTTCAAACATTTATTGAATGTCCTAGGTTTGGTAAGAGAAAAATATAATAAGATAGGGTCCCTGTCTTAAAGGAGTCCAAAGTCTAGTTGGGGCAGACAGACAATTATAAATAATTGTAAAATAATATGAGAAAGGTCAATAACCAATTTATGACAATGTAATATCAGCGCTTAGATTTGATAACTAAAGGTTTTAGGGTGAATGAGAAATTCACCACCAGGCCAGAGAAAACATGCAAAGAGGAGGAAGAAATTGTGCACCACAGCTTGAAATAGCTAAGTATTTCGGCATAAAGACCAGTTTTTCTCCTTGAAAAGTGATGACCAGATTTCGTATAGGAGGTACCTCAGGGTATTCACAGTCTGGCATACCTAGTGAGCGTTTCCCATCACTTTACCACAGCGAATGCTTGTCAAGGAAGCGGTTACGCAAATTCGAAATGTTTGTAGAAAATTATCAGAAATCTCCTGGGCTTCATGAAATACTTAAAATAGAAATCAAACACTGCTTCAGTCAAGCCCTTCACCACTCTCAAACACTTGGAAGTGTTACCTTTTGCTGAATGAGTTACTCAACCTTCTGAAAGTTAATAATTTATGCTGCTCTGATCTTTCTAGAGAAAAAAACAATGAATAATGGCAGGCAAGACAGAGGAGAAGAAGAAGAATGTCAGACAGCGGCCTCCAATTTCTTTTGAGTTTCAAATTTTCTTTAGGTGATCACCAATACCTACTCTGGTCTTCACCTTCCCCTTGCCTTTCTCGATTTCTCTCCCTCCATCAGTTCTTCCGGATTTCGGGATCTCCTGGCTTAGTAGCTGAAGTTTCTTTGCAGGTCCACCTTTGCACATTAGCTCCAGCGCCAACTCCAGCCCTAGCCCAGGAGCCCTCATGAACTCTGCCACCCGGAGCAGGCCAGGGCGGGGAGTGGCGGCTGTGACGGAGGGGGCGGGGCCTAGAAGGGTGGCCACGGCGGGACGGAGGGGCGGGACGAAGGGGCGGGGCGGAGGGCGCGCAGGCGCACTGGACCCGCGGCGCCGAACTGCAGCCATGGAACAGGCACCTCCGGATCTCGAGCGGCTTTTGCATCCCGCGCCTCTGGAGCCACTGGGTCATCCCGACGCTGGGCTGGAGGCTGCGGTTGGTGAGGAATCGGAGGGGGCCCGAGGCGATGAGGGCGCCGGGGACGGCACGGTGAGGAGAAGGGAGGGCGCGCAGGCGCACTGGACCCGCGGCGCCGAACTGCAGCCATGGAACAGGCACCTCCGGATCTCGAGCGGCTTTTGCATCCCGCGCCTCTGGAGCCACTGGGTCATCCCGACGCTGGGCTGGAGGCTGCGGTTGGTGAGGAATCGGAGGGGGCCCGAGGCGATGAGGGCGCCGGGGACGGCACGGTGAGGAGAAGGGGCGGCAGACGCCGCCCGGCCTGTGTCGTGGCCTAGCGGGCTGGGATAGGCTGCCGGGGGCCGGTGGGCTCGGCTGCGAGGCCCAGCGGTGACCGGGAAGCGGGGCAGAAAGGCGGGCCTACAGGTGTAGTGGCTCAGTGGAAAAAGAGGGCCCTGGCCAGGACCTGCCAGGCCAAGGGGGGAACGTCGAGAGGACGGCAGCGACGGGAGCGGAGGGTATCTGTGGGTGCGGTTACGTGGGCGTGGAGGTGGACGCCCGGGACGGGCCAGGCTGGATGGAGCAGGTTCTGTTTTCACAGGTCGGGGAGCCCGGAGGTTTGGGCCTGGAGAAGACCCTGATGTTTCTGGCAGTCTGGCAAGGAGTTGTGCAGAGGACGTGGCTTAACGGAGGCATCGTGGAGAATGGGGTGGGGAGTGGGCAACAGTGTTTGAGAAAGAAGAGAATGGGGGACTCGAGGAACAAGTCTGGGGCAATAAGGGTGGTTGGCTTGGTGCCGCCTTTAGGAAATTGAAGATAGTGTTAGATTTAAGAAAAAGTACACGTTAAAAAATTTTAGACTCCTTATTTGGCTGTAATTTCTTCATTTGTGGCTCAGTGCTGTATTTCCCAATGAAGACATCATAGGTATCCCATGTAGCTGCTCTGTAAAGTCCCTTTGGTAATTAGTAATTTTCATTTGCTTGAGGAGAAGAAAAAAATGCATCATTTTATATTTGTAATTGCTTTCATCCCAAAATGTTTTCACGCATGATGAGTAGACCAGGTTAAATGAAGCGTTTCAGAAACTCCATCTAGTTAGTGCTCCACATAAGACCACTCTACCTTGAGTGTGCATTGCTCATCCGTTTTGCTTCCTTTTTTTTTTTTTGGAACAGGTGTTAGTGCTCATGTAAAATTGCCTTATGATAGATGGATAAAGAAAAATTAAACTCCTTTGCTGATTGCAACTAGGAAGAATTCATGTTTAGAGACCAGATAGCTGGGGACTTCAACACAGGAGTTGAAGGTTTTTGCCTACTTGAGGGCAAAATATATAGAGAGTAGCATGAAGACTTTTTGGGTGAATTTTAAGTTTTTCCTTTAATTTTTTCTAAATTCGAGAATTATTTGTGGAGAGGTTAGGATCTCATTAAATATGAGAGAGGTGTGTGTATTCTGTAGTGCATAATTACAGCTCTTACATGATTTACTTTTTATTCAGGTTCCCATCTGTAGCTTAGTTTTTCTTTCTTTCTCTTAAAAAAAATTATTATGAAGTATGTCATTACTGCAGAGAAAGTTCACACAAAATAATTTTCAGTTCCTTTGAAGCCTGTATGTTGTCCTGGGTTATATCCATTTCCTCCACCACAGAGGTAATCAGTATTTTGAATTTTATATTAACAGTTCTCTTGCTTTTCTTTATAATCTTTATCAGTATGTATTCCTAAACAATATATTGTTTAATTTTACTTAATTTTGAAATTTACATAAGTGTAATAATTATAGTATGACTTCCTTTCTTTGCTCAATATTGTTTTTGAGATCCATCCAAAATGTGACTTGGTGAGTTTCTATTTGTGGCTTTATAGTATGCCATTTAATAGATAATTCTACAGTTGATTTCTCCTTCTGTTTACAGATGGTGGGTTGTTAGAAGATTCTTGCTATTTCTAAAAAATTGCCACTACCATGAACTTCTTCCTATATATCTCTTGGTGCAAATGTCTGAGAGTCTAATATAAACTTAGGAGAGGAGTTGCTGAATTGTAAGGTAGTAGCATGTTCAAACCTAGTAGGTAGTGCCACAATGTTTTCCAAAGTGACTATACCAGTTTATACTCCCATCAGTAGTGCCTTATCAATACTTAATATTTTCAGAATTTAAAATATTTGTTGGTCATGTGGATACGTGTTAAAGCGATTTAGGTTGTTTCAGAAGTAAGAAGTATATCTTTCATTAGCTACATCATGAGGTTAATTTGGTTATGATGATAAAAATTTGGTAATTTTTTTTGTGAAATTCTTTAGAGACTTAAGTAGTATGAAGTTGAAACTATAGTATAAAATCCATTTAGGCTAATTTAAAAGTGATTCTAAATATCTCATTTAAAAAATCTGTGTGTGTTCACTTTAAGATATGTGAAAACCCAAAGATGACATTATTCAGTAAAAGTTGTAGTTACATAGACTCTTTAGGAAGATGTTTGTGTTCCAAGAGACCATCCGTTAGTGACCAAATTTAGAGCATTTCCTAAAACATCTCCCCAATTATGTAATTCAGAGACATAAGACATTTGGGCAAATATTTCAGAATCACCAGGAAGTTTTCCTTTTGTTCATTCCCAGTTGAGATTGTTATAATTATAGCCATGTTGCTACTGTTACTGATAGGAATGTGTTCTGTGCAGAAAGGTAAGTTACATTTGTTGTTTGTGTGCTGTATGCACTTATAAGGCTCTTTGGTTTAATTTTCAAAATTACCCCCCAAAGATAGATAAAGATGAAGCTGAGGCTCAGAAATAAGTGATTTGGCCAAGGTCACAAGGTAGCGGCATGGCTGGGATTCGGACTCAGGTGTGCTTGGCTTTGAAATCAGTGCTCTGTCCCTAACCTTTTTGGCTCCAGGCACTGGTGCTTCTGTGAGAATTTAATGCCTGATGGTCTGAGGTGGAGCTGAGGTGGTGATGCTAGTGCTGGGGAGCGACAGCAAATACAGATGAAGCTTCGCTGACTCGCCTGCTGCCCAGCTCCTCCTGTGAGGCCTGGTTCCCAACAGGCCATGGACTGGTACTGTTCTGCATCCAAGGGGTTTGGGGACCCCTGCATTAAACCATGTGGCTTCATTCCAAAAAAACCAATAATAATAATTAAAAATAGTCTTGTAAATTGCTCCAATACTGTATTTAAAAATTTTTTTTTAAGTTAAGTTGTAGTTTTAAGAAGAAAAAAAAATATAAAGGTTGTGTTGCTTTATGAAGCCTTTTTTTTTTTTTTTTAACCACAAAGATGTCTAAACAGATAGTGTACAGAGATGGCAGAAAGCTCACCTCATCAGTTTTATTTTCAGTTCTCCAAATTTTGGACTGAGTAATTTGTACCAATTGCCCTACATCTAGGGGTAGTGGAAACAAACACTGCCTAAGAGTTCTAAGTTTCTTCTGGTTTTAAACGTTACTAATTCTTTAAATTTGGCTATAAGCTCTTATTTTGTAGTCTCTTCTTTTTCTTTCTGTTATTCTTTAGTCCTTTTTCTTTCCATTGTTTAATTAGAGGTATCCTTCCTTTTCCTTTTGTGCTTTTTCCCTGTAAGGAAGAATGCATTCTTTTTTAAGTATTGTCAGTTCTATTTAAAGTATTTTAGAAAATGGAAAAATTAGGGAGGAATCTAATCTCCAAGACAGTAGTAATCAGTCCTGACAGAAGAGAGAGGAAATAGCAAGGGAATGGAAGTAACAATACTTCTTTTTTAGGATGGTATATTCCATTGAGTTGGCATTTAAAAGTGTTTGCCTGGAGAAGAACCACTGCCTGAGCAATCTTTTGCGGGGAGAGCACTCTAGTCCTGGGAGTACTGGTGGAGGCAAAGAGTGCTTGAGCAACTGGTGCTTAAAAATTCCTGTATAATTAGTACCTTCGCTGATTGGCAGCAAGGAACTGAGTGGAAGTAGGCCAGAACTGGAAGTAGACTTTGAGGCATTTCTGGATGAGAGTAACAGTGGAAAAGAAAATGTATAGGCGTAGTTAACAGAGTTTATCAGTTTAGCAGCAGATGATTAAATCATACTCAGGAATGTTTTTCTTGTTTTCTCCCTCAGCAGCTCTCAGATAGTTTTGAAGGCAACTCATAGTACAAAATATATTTTACATTACAATCAGCATACATACACTTTCATACATGTGTTGTTTCAAGAAACAATGCTTAACCATTACTTCATGCAATGCCCTCTGATATTTTTTCTGTTTTTATCATTAAAAAGAAATGTTGGTATCAACCCACCAAATTAATTTCATGAACCATGTGTTGTAACTCAGTTTTCCAGTTTGGAAAACTGTTCAAACTTATACTTTTTAAAATTTTAACTTACAATTTATTTTAAGTAAAAATTAATATTTTCTGAGTAACTGTGCTCTTTTTAAAAAATATATTTTTATAGATAAAAAATGCAAGAAAACAGGCCCTGTATTATAACCCTATTTTTCTTAGTTATTTAAGAAATAACAGCTCAAGTAAACTTCACTATTAGGCCTAAACACTTTTTTTGTTGGCGGGATGGGATGGGATGGGTGGGGCCTAATACCAGCTACCTTTGACTCAACGCAGACATATCTTGTAAGGGGAGTAGATCCAATGGATGATAGTTTGTAAGCTTCAAATTTCTGACCTATTTCAGTAATACAGAAGCATCACACCTAGAAAAAAGATTCTAAGGAAGTATACCAATATATCGACCATGATTAGCACTGGGTTATGGGGTACAGGTGATTTATATTTACTTAATTTTTTTCCTATACTTTTCACTTTTTATGCATTAGTATGTATTAGCTTTCATAATCTGAAAAATTTAAATCTACAAATAATAGGTGCTAGGTAATACTTGAGCTCTTGCTTATGTACTAGGCAACTTTAAAAACTCTTTACATGCATTACTCATTAAATGTTCCCAACAACATTACGTGTTAGGTACTTTTGTTTCCATTTTACAGATGAGGAAACTGAAGCAGAGAGGTTAAATAATTTGCCCAGAATTACACAGCTAATCTATGGTTGAGATGGGATTCAAATTCTGGCAAGCTGGTTAACTAACCTGAGGGAGAATTGATCCTCTTCTAATTACACACTTTTATATTTTCCTGATTACCTGCTTGGCCTGATGCTACACCGGTTTCCCTTGTGTTTGTCCATTGCCACAGGGAATTTAAAACATTTACATTTATCATCTGAACTGGCTTTATTTTTAGTTGATTTTATTCTGTCATATTTTATACTTTATTTTGGTTTCTGTTTTTGGGTCTTCCTTAATAAAACCATAATTTCTTTGGTTTTATCTCTGCATTGATTTGGAAGGCATGTATCTTTGTTTTTTTCCTTCTCCAAAACAACTGAGACAAATTACTTATGTAAATGTAATGATTTTAAATTTTTTTTTGAAATAATCTCATCTATACAAGTGATCTCAAATTTATATAAACAAGCACAGTACAAAGAATCCTTTCCCCCAAATTTAAGAGTAAGCTGCTGTGAATTTGAGAGTAAGCTGCTATCATGATACTCCCTCATCTCATCCTCCAAATTTTTAGTATTTCAAGGGCAAATAAGGACACTCTCCTGTATAACTACAGTACTGCCATCAAAATCAGGAAAATAACATTGATAAATTACTGCTCTCTAATCCTTTGTTCAGAGCAAAGTGATCCAGTTCAAACACATGCATTACATTTAGTTTTATTTTCTCTCCAGTCTGCTCCCATGTGGAAGTTTCTCAGTCTTTACTTTTGTGACTTTGATCCTTTTGAGGATTAGAAACCAGTTATTTCGTAGAATGTCCCTCAATTTGGATTTGCCTGATGTTTTCTCATGATTAAAGTCAGGTTATGTGTATGGCATAAATTGCCACTAAAGTAATGCTATGTTCTTCTAATGGAATCTTATCAGTTTGTACATGATTTGGATTTATCCTAAAACTTTGATCACTTTTTCTGCTAGGTTTCTCTAATATAAAGTTATTCTTTTTTTCCTTTGTAATTAATAGTTTGGGAACATACTTTGAAACTATGAAAATATCTTGTATTTATTTGTTTATTTCAGTATGGACTCATGGATTTTATTTTTAAAGAACTTTATTAAGGTATAATTCATATACCATAAAATTCACTCATTATAAGTATATAATTTAGTAATTTTTAGTAATTTGCAGAATTGTGCAGCCGTCACTGCAACCCAATTTTAGAACATTTTTGTCCTCCCCCACAATCCCCTCCCTCCTTCCTCTTTGTAGTTAATTCCCCTTCCCACCCTAAGCCTTAGGCAGCCACTGTGCTTTCTGTATATGTTTGTTTTTTTGAGATATTTCATGTCAGTGGAATCTTACAATGTGTCAGCCTTATAATGTTTTTGAGATTCATCCATGTTATAGTATGTATTAGGAGTTCTTTTTTTATTACTGAATAATTTTTGATTGTGTGGATATATCACATTTTATCTGTTCATCATTCGATGGACATTGGGGTTGTTTTCAGTTTTAAGCTGTTATGACTGTTACTGCTATGAACATTCATTCACATGCAAGTTTTTGTGTGGATATGTGTTTACCTTTTTCTAGAGTTAGATTTGTAGGAGTATAATTGCTGGGTTATATGGTAAGTTTATATTTAACTTTTTAAGAAACTGCCACTTTTCCAAAGTAGACATACCATTGAACATTACCACCAACATTATACGAGGGTCATATTTCTCCATATCCTTGTCAGCTTTTGGCGTTGTCTGTTTTTTTTTGTTTGTTTTTGTTTTTTTTAATGGCCATTCTAATGAGTGTAAAGTGTTTTAATTTTCATTTTCCTAATGACTGATTGTGTTGAGAATCATTTCATGTACTCATTGCCATTTGTATGTCTTCTTTGGTGAAATGTCTATTCAGATCTTTTGTTCATTTTTTAAGTTGTCTTATTGAGTTGTACATGTTGTTTAGATATTCTGGATGCAAGTCTTTAAGCAGATAATATGACTTGCAGATATTCCTCGCACCTCCACCCCACCTCCAGTTTGTGGCTATTTTCTTTTTCTTTATGGTTTCTTTGAAGAGCAAAAGTTTTTAATTTTGATGAAGTCCCGTGTGAAGGCAATTTTTTCTTTTATGGATTGTGCTTTTGGTGTTGTGTTTGAAAACTCTTTGCATATCCAAAGATTGTGAAGTTTTTCTCTTAGAAATTTCAACTTTAGCTCTTATATCTGGTAGTATAAGTTATTTTGAGTTAATTTTGCATATGGTATGAGTTAAAGGGTCTAAAATTTGGTGTGGGGGGCGGGCGTGTGGGTACTAAGCTGTCCCAGCACATGTTGCAGACTCTTCTTCCCTTTTGACCTGCCTTGGTGTGTTTATTAAAGACAATTGACCTTAAATGTAAGGATTTATTTCTGGATTCTTATTTCTGTTCCATGGATCTCTCTCTCTTCTTTGCTAATACCACACTGCCTTGCTTATTTTAGCTGTTTAATAAATTGAAACCAGATAGTATAGTTCCTGTAACTTGTTATTTTTCAAAATTGTTTTGGCTATTCTAGGTCCTTTGTATTTATATATAAATTTTAAGAACCATTTATCAGTTTCTACAGAAAATACTGCTGGGATTAAGTATGAGATTAAAGAACAATGTGTTAGTATGTTTTATAATATTCAAGCATGTTCTATGCATGATGCTAATTTGTCATTTATTATTGTGAAGTCTAAGGCAAATCTGGTCTTTATTCTTTTGTAGTGATCTTGTTTCTTATTTTTCTGCCTTAATTTTGTTAGGAATTTTTTTTTCTTTAAGCTGAAAATGTTTAAGTTTTTTAATCCATTAAACGTGGCCCATACCTTGCAAAAATTTGAAGCCCTAGAATTTTTTTCAATCTAGGAAGGATTTTTGTTTGTTTCTGTTTTTATACTGAAGGTTATTATTTCTGTTTTGTTTCTTCTCATTTCTTCTTCAAGAACTTCCGTTAATTAAACATTGGTTCTTAGTTTTCCTTTTTTTATCATCTTTCGTCATTTTTACTTTTTTAGGTCTTTGTTCTCAGCATTCTGGCAGACCTTCTTACTGATTTGATTTCTTGCAATATTAGTTTTACTGCCCAAAATATATTTTTGCTATTTTATTTTTCTTTTCATTCTTTTCTGAGTTAGCTCCATGTTCATTTCAATCTGCTTATTTTTTTTGCCTGTTTTAATTTTATCTTTTTTCTATAATTTTCAGTATAACAGTATAATATCTTTTAGTATGTAATTTAAATAAGATTAAATTAAATGCTATAGACACTCTACTTTTTTCATATACAGCCCTAAAAATTGTTATAGTAAGGCTAGCTTTCATTTTTTTTTTTAAATCTTAAAGAGCACCTGAGATGGACAGAAGCTCACTGGAGGGTTGAGGATTTCTCATGCAAGCAAGCAGTGAACTGCTGAACTCAGGCACCTCGTTTTAGTTATCCTCTCTTTCCTAATGACTGGCATTGTGGATACTCAATAAATATTTAGTTATTGAACTAATAGTTTCTTATTGTCCCTTTTATCATTATTATGTGCTTTATGCTTACTTTAACTGTCTTCACTTTGCAACATTTAAAAAACTTACAATAGATTATATTTATTTTTACTCATTGAATTGGAAATAATTTCATCAGCCTTTTAAATATGTCAATTTTCTACATTTATTTAGTTTTAGATAGTTATTTAATCTTAAGTCAGGTGGAAAGTAGTGATTCACACATCTGACACCTACATTTGGGACATTATTCCTTTGGATACAAGTATAGCATCGCTCTTTCTTTAATGATATTCTTCACTCTGGTAAGAGTTTATTTTGAATACTTCTAAAATATTGTATCTCTCTTTAAAATATGTCCCTGGTCTCATCTTCCAGTCATCAAATCAATTCATTTCTAAACCTATTGAATGTGTTTTAGCAATTGTGATATCAGTTGGATTATTCTTGGCACTGTTTGTGCTTTAGTATTGACAGCAATTTTATATCATCTTTTAAACCCTGCTGGTATTATTGTGCCATTTTTTAGTTTTTTTGAAAGCTGATGGTATTCTCTTAGGTTTTTTTTTTTTCCTTCTATGAAATTGGGTGGCATAACAGAGTGAATTCATGACTCATATGCATTATCTTTTTGTCTGGAAAGATAATTTGCTTTATCAGTCATGTGCTTACAGAATTCAGGGAATTTTTAACTGAAATCGAAGGCAGTAAGTCATAGTGCTTGCCTGTTGGCCAAAATTATGATTTTTGTATGCATATCTCAACCAGTGAGGACTTCACAATCTTTATGTTGAGTGGTTTGTGCTTATGTAATTTCTTGAGCTTTCTTTTAATTGAATGATTTCTCCTGTCTCTTATTTTATCTTAGTACATAAACATACAACTTATATTTTATAAAAATGTCTTGTTTGATGACTGCATGTTTTCTGCTTTTATTGACTAATAACGTTCTCTGTCCTTTATCTTCTTTTAGCATTTTTACTTTCTCCATTTTTCTTCAGCATTATGGAGCACTTCCTAAGTGTCATCATCTTTATTTATCACTGATTTAACTTTTTGCACTACTACATAGCTTTTTCTGTTATAGCACATAACCTTAATTTTCTGTGTAAAGTATCACCCTGGGTTTTAACCGCATGCAGCTTTTTCTTTTAAACTTTGGTGCATTCATCTTTCAATTATATCACTTCTCCCAAATTTCTCCCAATTATAATATAGTACAATGTTTTTCATTAAAACTCACCTCTGAGCAACAGAGTTAAAAACCAAAGCACATGGGTCTCACTTTGTTTCCTTGTTTAGACTTGGAGTTACTTTGGGTATACTTAAGCCCCTACTTAAGTGGCGCACTTCTCACACATACTGCCTATGACACACCAGTGATGTGTTTGTTGTTTTTAGTCCTTTCATATAGACCTGGGGATATTCTAGTGGGAAAAAGAAAAGCATCTTCTTCTCCCTTCCCTTCTCAAATCCTGCTGCTGACTCACAGGTGGAGCCTGTTAACCACTGCCAAAAAAGTTTAGGTAAATTTAAAGTTGAATATAAGATGACTCCTGCTTTAAAAAAAAAAAAAAAATTAAACTGCCTACTGAAAATCTTTTCTTTTGGCATATGTATAGTATCTTATTTTTGAGAGAGCTTGGTAAAATAAAAAATTAGACATCAATATTGAGACTCATTCATCTTTCTACAAAGTGTTCTTAGATTTTTTTTCTTATGTATTTCTATATAGATTTATTCTTGGTCACTTACATGAAATGTCTATATTTTATTTTTTCACTTATTTTATCTATGCTTTAATAATTAAATGTATGATATCTATTTAAATAGCTTCAGGAAAAGCTTAATGTGCTACAATATGCTGATAGAGTGAGACATATCATTTGTTGCTGTCATTTAGCTAATCCCAGCAATTTAAGAATTACAAGGAGCTAGCTTGAAATATATACCAATAATGGATTTTATTATAATAGCTGGGACGTTTTTCATTACCATCTTAAAGGTGTTATTATTCCTTTTGTTTTTATCCAGATGACAGAAAACAATTTTTGGTTGAAGAAGATAGAAATTAGTGTGTCAGAAGCAGAAAAACGAACTGGAAGAAATGCCATGAACATGCAAGAGACATATACTGCTTACCTCATTGAAACAAGGTAAGTGATCAGAATTAGGCCTGGGTTTGGATAGAAGCAGCTTTGGTAGCTGCGAGTGTAAATTCTGTGGTATAACGGAATTGTTTACAGGTCACTGTCTTTTTAGGGATTGTGGGGTTTTTTTTGTTGTTTCTTTGCTTTTTATCAGGTAAATTGAGGTGTGTCTTTTACTATGGTATTCTTGGTAGCTATATTCTAATGTGCTTGTTTTGGGGGAGAGGAAAGGTTAGTAGAATACTTTGCGTCCTGGAGTGTTACTTGACACATGCTTTGGTGGAGTTCTTAGTGTTATATACAGTCCTTGTGCAATTTTGAGAAAAGTTACCAGGTTCTCAGGGGCGTATTAAGTGGATTTAGGTAAGTGGAGGTGGTTGACAAAGAAGTCTAGAAGGAGAGAATAAGTCATTTTAGGATAGTCGGGAGTTACAGAGATATTAACAGGAAAAAAATTGAGGCTGCAACATTAGACTTTGGGGGTAAAATTGACAAGATAAAATAAAACACGGAGTAAGAAATCAAAACTCACCAGAAAAATTGTCTTATACCTCATAAGGAAAACGTTAAAGGAATTAGATTGTTTTGTCTAGAGAAAGGCAAGGGAAGAATCAATTTATTTTGCTCGTTATAAACAGTTTACATAAAGACTACACTGACTGGTTCTTTTCTCTTTGCAGACTGAGCAGAAATACTTTCAATTAAAACAGATATGAGATAACTTTATGATAGTAAAGTAAAATAATAGAAGTACCAGACCTAATTGACTAAGAGTAATAACCGTGTTTTAAAGTGAATACATTTTTAAGGAAAAAAATTAAGAACCCTTCATTTTCATAGGCTTTACCAAAAGTCTCCGAGCTTGCCTTAAGGCTGAACCCTGTAACTTTTCAAGGCTTTCTCCAGGTCTGTGGTTCTACCCAAAATGAAAGTTAAAATCTTGGTGAAAGTTGTTTAATTTGTGGACAATTCTGAAAATCCTCTTTGTAAGTATAGTTTCCTTTCTCCACTAAAAAAACAAAAGCAAAAACAAGAGAAATTTGTGTGCAATAGGAATTTTAGAAAAAGAGGTAAGGTGGATTTTTTAAAAATTTGGTCATTTTGTGACATGTATCACAAAGATTTTTAAGGTGATAAAAAAAACATGGTCCCATGAGAGGGGTTATTTATTTTTTTTAAATTAGCCACTTAAAAAATCATACTTTAGAAATTAATGTTATCTCTAGCTTTCTAAATAAATTTTTTAAGTTTAAAACGAATAAGGATATTTTAGTATGTGCCTATTTCTTTACCCAGTCAAACAATGAAATTAGCTGTTGATTACTTTTACTGCTGGAACAGCTCTTGATTTGAATAATCTGGAATAATTTATAGTTGTTTACTCTTGACCATGAAATGAATAGAGTATTATATGTTGGAACTGGAAGTTAGAAAGGACTGTACATGAGTAAGATAGCTACACTCCAAATACATATTTAGGTAGATCATCAGTAAATGTGTGGTACACAGACATATTATTGAGTTGATTTTCCTGATTGTATTTTGTTATAAATTTATTTTAAAATGGTGGTTCTCAAACTTTAAAATATATAGGAATCACTTGGAGAATTTGTTAAGCCAGATTTTGGGTGGGGTCCAGGAATTTACATGGACCATACTTTTGATTACGTTTTAAAATACAAAGGCTTTAAATTTTAAGGTAGTCAAATTTAGCTGACTTTTTCCTTTATTATTGTGTCTTCTCTATTTTAAGAAATTTTTGCTTACCCCATATCATATAAATATTCACTTTGAGAATTGCTATTTTGAATAGATTATTAGATTAGTGCTGATTATTTTGTTGAACATCTACTGTGCCTCTAAGGTTCACTGACCTTCAACAACTCCAGAACTCTTGAATTTCTAAATCATGTAGGATTCTTTCTGTAATTTAGTGTTATACAGATAATCTTGGACAATATGAATATTACTGGGCCTCGATAAGAACTAAAGTTGAACTTTTATCATTATAGAAAGCAGAAAGCCCATTTAGCCATTGCCAATAGTGTTACAGTTTAGTAGGCTAAGATTAAATAAGCCTAAAATTAGAGGTTTTTAATTTCTCCAGGGATTTTGTGTTTTCGTGTTCATAAAATATGAACCCTTTAAAAATTGATAGTAATATACCTCTTTTAGAATAGATAAGAATGCCTCGGTGGCTTGGGAGGCAGTATGATGTCATTACTTAGTTCTAGTAATTCCCCCACCCGCCTTCTAGTAGTTTGTAAAACAGGGCTAATGATGCTATCTGCTTTATTGTGAGGGTTATATTAAATGTTGCATGTAAAACTAATTATGTGCTATTAAATATTTGTTAAGCGATTGGGATAGTTTTGTGGTCCAATGAAATCTTCTGTTTTTATTCAGTTTCCAATGACTACACCCTACCTTAAGTGGTCATTTTTTTTAAACTCTTAGCAGATCTTCTAACAGCCTTGTAGATATACTGTTTATAGCCTGTACTGCTTATAGCTATACTACTTATTAGCAAGGTGTGGGTTCTGTTGGTAATGATTTTGAATAATTTGAAACTGGATATTAACCTAGATGTTTTTTCCACTGAAGTCGAGAATTTGAATTGGAATAGGATTAATCATAGTTAATGGTTAGGTCAACTCTTTGTAACATACTATGATTTAATAATCCTGTATTTTTGCCAAGGAGCCATTTGTACATTTAGAATTTTATAATTTGTTTTCTTTTTATTAATACACAGTGAATAAATTTTGTGGCAAACTTAACATATAAATAATAAAAACGTTGAACATCTCTGTGCTGAACACAACATAGTGTATATACTTTCTCAAGACTTTATTCCAAGACTGATTTATTCTGTGCCTTTATGCTCTACTGTGCAAATGCACATCATGGTTATGCACATGTTTATTAAAGGGCCTTTAAGTTATTGTCAAGCAAACAATTAGAAAATAGGAAGGTCCTGATAATGTTTAGAACAATGTTGCTTTCTAACAGTGAGTATGCTAGCAGAAATCTTAAGTAGTCAAAATAATTTCAAATGTACTTTATATGATTTACCTGAACTTCCTCCAACTGTAAGTTGGACTTTTATATGGATGAGACATGACATTGCCTGAAGCTCTTAATATTAAAAATAGGGCTAGAGGTGAATTTTTGCATCCTTACTCCATCACCCTTTTAAAGTTAATTAACATTTTACTTTTGTGGATATTTCCTGGTTCTTGGATGGATCCGATTCATTTATAACCTCAAGGCGAGATTTTGCAGTGTCTTGGTCTTCGGCATGAATGTTGTTCTCTCATTGTGGCAGAAATGCAGTTAAAGGTATTTTTTATTTAATGAATCAGTAGCTAAGCCAGGTTTTGTTATAGTATACAGTCAGTTATCCTACGTTAACTAAATACATGGAACCTTTCAGGATGTTCCTAATATGAATAGTTCTCTTTAAGTCCAATAGGTTTTCTGTAACAGAAGGAGAGTGGTTAGGAGTGAGGGCTTTGGAATCAGGTGCATCTAAGTGCTCTACCCACAGATCATTGTGATTGTAGAAAGAGCATCTACTGTGCAGCTGCTTCCTCATCTGTAAAATGGGGACAATCCCTGCTTCATAGAGTTGTTGTAAGGATTAAATAAAACATGAGAGCATTTGGAATCTTGCTTCCTGACATATCATCAGTTTGACTTAAATAAAATCTTATTAAAAAAAAAAAAAACCCATGAAAAGTTCTTTTGTCAGTGCCTGGTTCATAAGCACTTAGTAAATGGAGTTATAAAGTTTAAAGGAGGTTGTGTACATGAATTTGTATTTTTTAAAAATGATGGGAATCTTGTATTTCTTTTCAGGTCAGTTGAACACATTGATGGTCAGAGTGTCCTAACAGACTCACTATGGAGGCGGTACAGTGAATTTGAGTTGTTGAGAAACTACCTTTTAGTTTACTATCCACATGTTGTTGTGCCGCCTCTACCAGAAAAAAGGGTAAGAAGTGAAATGGCAGTATAGTTCAGAAGTATTTAACATTGAGACTATTTTTCATGATTGTTTTATTTACCTAGGCAGAATTTGTTTGGCATAAACTGTCCGCTGACAACATGGATCCAGATTTTGTAGAAAGACGACGAATTGGTTTAGAAAACTTCCTCTTGAGAGTTGTTTCACATCCCATCCTTTGTAGAGACAAAATCTTCTATTCGTTTTTAACACAGGTATTTTTCTTTTATTTAGTTTTTTAAATATTCATTTGACTTGGAATTTTTAAAATTTTGGAATGCTTTTTCTTATAAATTTTTTTCAATTACAGTTGACATTATATTGTTTCAGGTGTACAGCATAGTGATTAGACATGTATATAACTTATATAACTTGTGATCACTCCGATAAGTCTAGTTAAAATGCCTAGTCTTAAGGATCCTTTTGGAGCAGCTTTGTTAATTTGTGTGCATTTCATTGTTTTTTGTTTGTTTTGAATTTCAAAATTATCGGTTATATCATTCTTTTGGCTAACAAAATACTTAAAGATACTAAAGGCAGTACTTTTTGATATCACTTAAATGATGTCAAAGTTAGTCTTTAGTTTTTTGAAGCCCAAATTGTAAAATCTTGGGTTTATCTTTTGGTAATCTTTTGGAATCTGGACTGTATGTTTAATTTTGAAGTGAAAATAATTATTTTTTAAATCTCTCTCTCCCATCTCTCCTGATAAAAGAATAGAATGATAGGTATTTTATTTAATTTGGAATATTCCTTATGTTGTTTTATTTTGCATTGATTTCTAAAATTAATTTTAATTTTTAGGAAGGTAACTGGAAGGAGACTGTGAATGAAACTGGGTTTCAACTGAAGGTAAGAATATTTGTATGAAATAGTTTTTCGTGTACAATTGCCGACACAGTGCCATGTATTTAATGGGTACTTGCTATTTTTTGAATTTTGTGCTAAATGTTAAAATTTAGCACAAAAAAAAGTAGAAAGAGAAAAAATTTTTTCTACACCGAAAATATAATCGGTTATCTAATTCTGTCATAAACTCATAATTCATAAATATTTTGTTGGCAGATTACATGAAAAAATTAGAATTTTCTTGGCTGTATTTAATGACTTTGAGAGATATCTAGAATTTTAATTAAGAGGTAGATTTGAAATAACTCTACTTTAAAAAATTTATATTTTGATAGAGCTTTCTGAGAACTCTAAAATATGTTAATAAGGAAAAGACAAAACTAAAATATAATTGTTTTGGTGATGTCTTTTTATATAATAGAAAATTTAAAAATTTTTAGTCATTGTTTTAGTCATTACTTGTTTGTCCTTGAACCCAGTTTTTGGCCATAACTTTGGCAACCTTGAGAAAACTATTGAATTTCTCCATCCATATAGACTATGCTGTTTACTGACTGCTTTGAATCTTGTGTGTAGGTGCTATTTAAGTGTTCAGACATAATATATTATATTTGGGTAGCCTTATGGTAAAACCATGGTTTTACAAAATCTTTGAAAGATAATAATACTTAATATACAATATAAATAATTTGAGAAGTCAAACTTAATGAAATGGACCAGCAGTAAAATGGAGAGAATTTGTATTCCTTATTTCATTGTATCCGTTTCTTGTTTTAAGTCCTTTCTTCCATTAAGGAAATGAGACTTTTAGACTATCTCAAACATATATATGCATCCATACATAAAAACATATGTATGTGATGTTGTCTACATACATACATATATGTAGTCACCTTTCACTTATCCAGAGGTCATGTATTTAGCAGTTACCACTAACCTGACCACAGTTGAAAGCTGTGATTTAAACAAAACTAACTTCTAAGATGTTCAGGTGGATGTAACATGGCTTACTACTATACCTATAGAAATACTTCGGTCCTTTCACATATTACCCACTTAATCTTATTATAATTATTCAGACAAACTTGACTATCTAATTTCTAGGCTGCAACATATTAGAAGAAACTTTAAAAGGTCTAAAAGCGAATAATACTGTTGGAGACAGGCACACTGTGACAGTAGTGAAAATTGATAGCTAAGCCTGCTAGCAACGAAGGATAACAATGATATGAGAGTCAAAACTGCAGTATGAGGGCATTTGATATGGGGCCAAATCCCAATGTACCTGTGTAGCCCCTAGAGCTTCACTATATCATAGATGGGTTCAGTATTATTTGTTTATAGGGGTTACCTAGAGCCCTCAAGAAAGGTTGAATTATGCTTGCTGTGTACTCATAATTCAGTATTTTTTTTATTTTTAGCCTGCAACTAGGTTTTTGGTTTTTAAAGTTTTTTTCATTCAGTGTTTCTTACTGTACAACCAGCCAGTTTTGTGCATCTCAATTTGTTGGAATTGTTTGTTCAAAATACCGAATCCTAGAGTTCACTCCAGATATATTGATTCCCATCTTCCTAAAATATGACAACCATTGCTGCAAGGTGATAGATGAGAATATTTTTAGGAAGATAATTTTAGAGTGTCAAAAATGGTAAAAAGAGAAAAGAAAACATTTTTTAGAACCTAAAGCAGTATCTTATCTGAGTATTATTAGCATTACATGTTTACTATGTGTCAAGCACTGCACTATAATATACTGTATTTTTTTTTTGGCTAAGTATTGCCTCAGTAACTTTGAGGTTAGTTCAGTATTCCTATCTTTCAAATGAGGAACTCTAGAAAGTGCCTTACCCAAGATTACATAATTAAAAGTGATGGAGTCTGAATCCAAGTCTAGGCCTAAATCAGAGCCCTTCTTAATTACCATCTCATATTACCTCTCTTTTCACTTATTAGCTCTGTAATTAATGTATGTAAAGATGGTTGGTAAAGGAAGTGTTGGAAACTATATTTCAATGAAAATGAGATCATTCTGAATCAGGCCAAATATTTATGATTTTATAAGAATATTTAACCTTGGCTATTGGATTGTCGTCCTCAAATTGAAATGTCAGCTTACTTTAATTTTCCTTTTATCAGATGTCTTTAATTTAATCTCTAATTTGGGCCTACTAGGTTAATATTTTATTCAATCTTAGAGTAATTATTATATCTAGCAAGATAATTATAAAAATTTAGTTTGTTTTTATCTATGCTCTATTTAACATAAACATGAACAACAGATATTTTCATCACTGCTGTATATTGTTTTTTTTCTTGAATATTTATGTAATACTCATGTTAATCAATTCAGTGAAAGGAGAGCAAAGAGTTTATCTCTAGAGTAATGAACATATAAACTAAATAGTTTAAAGTAATATTTTAACTCAGTTAACTTAGTAAGTTACTTACATGAAAGTAAGTGTTATTCATACGCCCAAACCTTAAATGAATTTAGGCTGACTCAGGAGAATCCGGAACCCTGCCTGTTGCTTGAAGCAGGGACTACCAGAGACAAGATCTGGGCCTTTAGAATCTCTGCTAATCTGTGTATTGCACAGGAACTCTGAGAGAGCCAACATGGAGATTCTAAATGCTGGGTGCCCATAGAGTGTCAGGTACTCTGCTAGGTGCTGTGGATAATTATTGAATGATCTGAAAACTTTCTTATGGAGCATATATTTTAGTAGTTGGAGACATCAAATTAACATTTAAATAATATACTTTCAAGTAGTTGTAAGTGATATAAATTTAGGAAATAAATCATCTTTGTGAAAGAGTATGACAGCAGAGATTTTATTCCAGTGGTTATTTTGAGATAAGATGACAAAATGGGAATACTTTTGAGAATAAAAAGGGTTACTGTTACCAGTTAGACTAGGACTACAGGTATAAAAACCAGGACTGTTCTGGGCAAACTAGGTCCCATGGTTGAAAAGGTAACATTTGAACTGAGACCTGAATAATAAACCTGCAGTGGAGTCAACCTCGGGGGCCTCTGTTAGAGAGAGTCCAAGCTGAGTGGTGGTTTACTAGGCAAGGTAAGAATTAGGAAATGAAAAAAGGAAAGAAAAGGTCCAGGACAAGGAAAGTAAAGTATGTAATAGGAGTTGAAAAGGGAGGGAGAGGTGAGTTTTAAAGGAGAACATGGGAAAGCGAAGTTGGGGTTATAGAATAGTCCTGGTTATTTTTTCCATTCAACCGATACTTTTTGCATGTCTGTATTCTGTCAGGCATTGTGAGGCATAGGGTTAAAGCAGTGAACAAAAAGAAGCAGATTTAAAATATTGCTTGGCAGCCCTTGTGCGACTCCAGAGCGCACCATTCACATTGCACTTTTTTTGAATGGCTCATATTCTAGTGGATAGCTAAGGAACAAGCAACTAAGATGATTTCAGATAGTGCTGTGTTAAGGAAATAAAATAGGGTGGTATGAAACAATGATGTAAGAGCTTTTTAATTTTACTTTAAAAATTTATATCTAATTGTAGTTGACATACAGTATATTAGTTTCAGTGTACTACATAGTGACTCAACATTTATATACCTTACAAAGTGATTACCACAATAAGTCTTAGTGTCTGTCACTGTACATAGTTATTATAATATTGACTATTCCTATGCTGTACATGACATCCCTTGACTAATTTTATAGTTTGTACTTCTGTAAGGGCTTCTTTAGATATGAATGGGGAACCTGATAAGATCGATGGTAACCTTTCAGATTTGGAACAGTCCAGGTAGTTTATTAGAGATGTAGCATTGGGGAGAAGTTTCTAGTTTGTTGACATTTTAGACGGCTTCTCTTTTTATGGAATCTTGTGAAATGATGAGCAGATCGAGTTGGGTGTTGTGATGGACTTGACCTGACAGATTGTTTGGTAAGCAAAGATTAGGATGGTGATGGTTTACATTTTATATGACTTCTAAATTGGTAAGTTGGTGATATTAAAAGTTAAAAAAAAATTGGTGGTATTAAGAAGTATGAGATTCATGAAAAGATACAAAATAAAATTTTCTCCTTTACCGATGGTTTTTATGTAATTTTATTATCATTTAAAAAAATCACATTTGCACGTTACTATGTCATCAATACTTTGTTTAGTGATTTTAATTAATTTAAAGAACATATGTCTTAAATTTATAGGTGCTTTTATTTGTAAAGACTTTTGTTAATATTAGTTTGTTTGCCCTTGAGATGTAAGGAGGGTCAAGAATTGGTAAAATACTGATTTTAGAAATAAGACAGTCCCCCGAAATCAGTGACAAATTAAGCTTCTTTAGATATTCTTGATAGCCTCCTTTGAGTTTCTTTTGGTCTGAAGTTCTAGGAGTCTGAGTTTGTGGAGTAGCATTATATGTTGCATTTTAAAATTTTCTTAGCAAGGATTGTAGGGACCTCTAGTATTTTTGTTTTGTTTTATTATTTTGGGAATATTTGTAATTATGCATTGAAATTTGGAATAATGTAAAATTTTTAAGCTGATTGGGATTTTAAAAACCAAACCACATTACGAAATTGATTCCTGTTTTAGCTACCTTTTATTGAACCCTGTAGTTTCTGTGCTTGGTCAGAAAAATAATTTGGTGGTTTTTTGTTTTTTTTTTTTTAATTGAGAACTTAGAATAGGTAGTTAAAAAGTTGTGTTTTCTTATAACATTTTCTGACAGCTAGAAAGTAATTTGGTATTATCTGGCTTGTTTTACTTTAGTAGATTTATTACTTTAGTACTGTCATTTCCGTACTTTGTTTTCTAAAATACTGATTATGAAAATAAGGAAAAACCAATACACATTTGGTTTGGATTCCACCTGAGAATTACCCTTGGTATTGCATAAACTTCAAAGCAGTAGTTTTATTTAGTTTATATATACAGATTATTACTTTTCTTCATTTAGAGAAAAAGTAAACTACTTTTTTCAGTCTATTCTGTTAAAATAATGCAGAGCAGTATGCCTGTTAGCATGTTGGTGTTTATAGTTGCTTTACTTTGATATTGAATGCCATGTATTCAGTTTAATTTATAACATTATTTTTGTAGTGTTTTCAAAAATAACTACTACTTTTTTTTTTTTTTTTTAGTTATGTGGAATGTGTTTGACACAAATAATATGAAAAAAACTGTACTTGAGCATCTTAATTCTAAGGGCAAAATAAAACTGTTTGGATTTATACACTGAAATGTAATTGTATTAAGTGAATAAATTATTTTTTCCAGGCAGACTCCAGGTTAAAAGCGCTTAATGCAACATTCAGAGTGAAAAACCCAGACAAGTAAGGTTTTGTTTTATAAACAGTTACAATGTTGTTTTGAATGATGCCTATCAATCTTTTTAATTTTTCATTTCTGAATGTATGCACTTTATTTGCTAAATATTTTAAATAGTAATTCACATTTAGTGAAATCCTTTTATACTCTAAAACTGCTTTTGAAATTTGGTAACTTTATTTGGTTTAAGTCTGTGAGTGTCTGAAATTTTAGAAAAGTAAACTACTGCTTTTTTCTAGAAGGATTTATTAAATGTTGTTGAAGGTATCAGAAAAGTGAGAAAAGCAATTTTAATATCATATAAAATAGTTTTTCTTATATGACTTTGTCAAAAATGTACAAAGCTCAAGATAAGATTATACATTTTATATTTTAATAATAAACTTTCTACCTTGCATACCAAGAAAACTTGGTATAAATGCATACTAATATAATAATTTTATAAAGTCAATTATTTGACTTCATTAATGTCAGTTTGGTATTTGTGAGAGCATTTCTATATTAAAGGAAGCTCATATATTCAGAAATAATTTTTCTTAGTATGGGACCTACGTATGTCTTAAGATTTTGGTTTTGCTCATTCTCTGAATTTGGTAGATAAATCAAGCTCTTCATTATATGGACCTTTACCTGGAGTTTGGTTCAGTTGTTTTTCAGTTAGAAGTGTGCTTAGGCAGATGAGGCTTTTCCATTTTTGGCAACCAAGTTTATGAGGTCTGTTAGAATTACTCTAGTTAGGCCTTCAAGCATTAATTTCTACATAGTGTAAGTACTCAGTAGACGAACAAAGGCCAAGTTTGCATAGTCTGATGCCTGACTTTATAAACCATAATTCATTAACATAATGCCTCTGGTTTTTAATATACATTTTGAATATAAAATAATATTTTAGAGTTTTGTTAATTAGGAAATTGTGATGGTGACCATTGAGTTTTTTTTTTTTTAAATAGACTTTATTTCTTAGAGTAATTTTAGGTTCACAGCAAAACTGAACAGAAAGTACAGAGTTCCCACATATCCTCGACCCCTACACATGACACCGCTCCCATACATTCAGAGCCACTCCCACTCTATCAGCGACCCCGCCAGAGTGGTACATTTGTTAAAATCGGTGAAACTACATTGACACATCATCATCACCCAAAGTCTGTAGTTGACATTAGGGTTCACTGTTGGTGTTGTATATTACATGGGTTTTGACAAATATATGACACATATTCATGATTATAGCATCATACAAAGTATTTTAACTGCCTTAAAAATCCTCTTTGCCCTACCTGTTTATCCCTCCCTTCCCTGGCAACTACTGGTCTTTTTATTGTCTCCATAGTTTTACCTTTTTCAGAATATCATATCATACAGTATGTAGCCTTTTCAGATTGGCTTCTTTCACTTTATGATATGCATTTAAGATTCCATTGAGGTTATTTTTAAGGGTTATAATGACATCCATGGTATATGAGATAAAAAATATTCTCTAGATTAAGAGCTAAAGTTATGTCACCCTCCCAAAAAAGCTAAGTCACCCTCCCAAAAAAACCTTATAAGGAAAGTTTATGACCTTGATGGTGTACATTCATTAGAGGAGCATGTAGATGAGACTTTTTCAAATTAATTTTTATATTATTTATTAAATTAAGTAATATATTAATATTTTATCAATTGAGTGCTTTTCAATTTAATGAAAAATATTTTGTCAATTGAATGTCTTCCCTTTTCTCACCTTAACCAGGTTATCTAGGTTGTGAAATTTTATTTAATATCCATACTATATACAGTCATGTGCCACGTAACAACGTTTCAGTCAGTAGTGGACCACATATATGATGGTAGTCCCATAAGATTATAATGGACCTGAAAAATTCCTATCTCCTAGTGGTGGTGTAGCCATCTTAAATGTTGTAAGGTAACACATTACTAACATATTTGTGGTGATGCTAGTGTAAACAAACTTTCTGCACTGCCAGTTCTATAAAAGAATAGCACATACAGTTATGTACTGGTTTATGTATTTACCATACTTTTTATTGTTATTTTAGAGTGTGCTCTTTCTACATAATAAAAAAAGTTTGCTGTAAAAGAGCATGCTGCGTTAATGCTGGCAACAGCCTTATACATCTTGTGTTCACTGCATTTCTTGATTGCATCATATTCTCTTATGCTTGATTTATTTTCGTGTTATTTTGTATAGTGACATGCTATAAGGCTTGTAGCCTCAGAGCAATAAACTATGTCACCGAGGTTTGGGTAAGTACACTCTGTGATGTTCGCACAATGATGATATCACCTAACAATGTATTTCTCAGAATGTATCCCTGTTGTTAAGTGGCGCATGACTGTATAGAATTTTAAATATGATATGACCAATAACATAACCAAGGCAATTTCTTGCTTCTAAGTGCTTGTTAAAGTGTATAATTAATGTCTAATTAGTATTGGAATTCATTTGCCTTAAGTTCTAGATAAGAGAATTGCCTACATCAGTCATCGTTATAACAGATTCTTAATATATGGAATCTGTTCTAGGTCTAGCTGGCCCAATAGGTTAATTATTATTCATGCCATTACTAAAATAGTTTACATCACTAAAATATTTTTATTCTGTCCTTTTTTAAAATCTAGAAAACCAGAAAGATTGTTTCAGAGGGATTGCCAAAGTGGATATTTGCTTTAAACTAGACTGTTAAGAGCAGTGAGAAGAGGACCTTGAGTCTTCCACTTTGATGTGGCAATATTTAGACAGTATATGGGCAATATTTAGGAGATAGACTGACCGATTAGTAGAATGTGTAGGATGAAAGAAAGAATATATAGCATGAAAGAATGCATAGGAAGGACATACAGACGACACCAAGCTTTTATTTTTAAAATTGCTAGGAAACATACAAGAGAGAGGTTGGCGGGGAGGAGAGAGGATAAGTTGAGTTTTGGATATGAGGAAGTCCAAATATCTGCTAGTCGGTTGACTTTATAGATCTGGCATTTAGGAGAGAGAGTTGGGCTGGGGGTAGAAATTTGAAATTCAGCAGCTTGTAGATCCTCATTGTGAAGCTTTGTGGGTAATAAGTCACATAGAATGTATAGATTGAAAGAGCGATTGTAAGATGGCTGAGGACCTAGAACTGAACCCTGCAGAAGCCAACACTTTAAGGGCGTTTCCAAAGTGTAATTGAGGATTACCAGCCTCTGAATCCTGTGGGTGAGCTTGTTATAAATTCAGATTCCTGCATCCCACTAGGGCCTTTGTGTACAGTTGTGCTGATTATTCACACTCCTGTCTTACTGAGAGGCCCTCAGCAGTGTTTTTAACAAATACTTCAGGAATTCTTTGCACACTAAAGTTGGGGTGTGAGAGATGGGTGAAGGAAGTGAATACTGCAAAAGAGACTTTAGGAGTGACCAGAGAGTAGAAGAGAAATCACAAGAAAATGACACTGATGTCAAGGGAACAAATTTTTGAGGAGGGTGAGGTCAGCTGTTACATTGCTGGAAGGATCAAGTAAGATGAGGACTAAAGTATATCGGTGAATTTTAAAAACATGAAAATAGTAGGTGACTTTGTCAGGAGTATTTTTCCACTCTAATGCTGGAGGCAAAACTAGATCATAGTGGGCTGAGCAGTGATTGGGACTGGAAGAAATGATTATTGCTGGAGAGGTAATGCTTTGTAAAAGAATCGCTGTGAAAGGTGTGAGTATTGAGAAGGTGTTAACAGTTGGGTGCATTGTCAAGGAAATTTGTGTTTGTGTGTGTGTAAATCTAGGAGACACCTACATTAATATACTAAAGAGAAGGAGCTTAAAACGAGAGGAAGTTACAAAATAAGAATGTGGAGTATAGCTGGGATTGAATAGAATATTGGATAGGAAGAAGGATCCTAGAAGGAAGGAAGAAATAATAGATGTAGATATGGGAAGTTTCTTAAGTTTACTGACAGGAAGTGGGGGTGGAAGTAGTTTCTATCTGATGACTTCTGTTTAATCTTTGAAGCTTGGTTGGAGAGTGACAGGTGGTGGTATAAAAAATTTCAGATCTTAATGGAGAATGGTAGTTAATTAGATTAGGGAAACATTACTGAACAGTGTTAAGATTGAGGTTAGATACCATGAGTTTATGGCTGCACCCTAAGATTCTTTAAGCACTATGAATTTTTTCCTGTTTTTTTGTTTTGTTTTGTTTTCAAGTAATTTTTCATACCAACAAATAGTATCTCTGTCTCAGTCCAATAGTACAAATTATGAAATATGACATCTTTACTTGGTTTTAAAAATATTTTTTTAAATGGTTTTATTTTAGCATTTTTTGAATTTGTATTGGTGTGTAAATGTTCAAGATCAGCATGTGGTTAATTAGAGTCAGTTTTATTATTCTCAGGAATTACAGTTTACCCTGAAAAATGTGGGAGTTAGGGGTGCCAACCGCCCCGCCCCCTGCACAGTCAAAAATCTGCGTATAACTTTTGACTCCCCAGGAACTTAATTACTAATAGCTCACTGTTGACCAGAAGTCTTACTGATAACATAAACAGTTGATTAACACATGTTTTGTATGTTATATGTATTATATACTGTATTCTTACAATAAAGTAAGCTATAGAAAAAAAATCATAAGAGAAAATACATTTACAGTATTTATTGAAAACAAAATCTACATTTAAGTGGAACTGCTCAGTTCAAACCTCTGTTGTTCAAGGGTCAACAGTTCTGTTTTGTCTTTCAATTTTTGATATGTTTTCTTGAGAAAAAATGATGTTTTATTGTTTCCTGTTTCAGGAGATTTACTGAACTAAAGCACTACAGTGATGAACTACAGTCTGTCATCTCACATCTTCTTCGAGTCAGAGCTGTAAGTGGTCCCCAAGAGTTTTTGACACACATTTGTACAAAGTGCTTCTTATTTAATCGTTATGTTTTTAAGTTTTATGATGAATAACTGATTTTTACATTCAAATTGGTGTGTTCATCATCCAAACTGCATTTTTAAAAAATGTGAAATCGTCTACGGCCATGTCACCCTGAACAAGCCCAATCCTGTCTGATCTCAGAAGCTAATAAGTAGGGTCGGGCCTGGTTAGTACTTGGATGGGAGACCACGTAGGAAGAACAGATGCTGTAGGTGTAAAAAAATAAAAATAAAAAATAAGGGATTGTAAGCTGACAAGGTCCTTGCAATCTGTGAGGTCAACCAAGGGTTGTCTCATCTGAAAAAAAATAAATAAATAAAAAATGTGAAATGTTTCTGGCATAAACAGTTTGGAGAATTTTAGCCTGTTGTTTTCTTTGTAGTTTGTATATGGTTGTTTTGACATCTTGTCAAAAGACCTACCATTTCAGTGTTGGAATATGATGAAATAAGTGGTATTTTAGATCTACATATAATAATATCCTGCTTTTTTTCCAGGCTTTTTTTTTTAAGATCTGTGAAATAGTTTATATGTTATGCTATCTAGTGTCTGTGCTGTTAAATTCTAAGTGAACTTATTTGAGATAATGGTCTGCCATGACAGAAGGCACTAGAGATCAAGGAATAATCATTGTACTTAGCTGTATAGTTTGACTATAACAGACATGGAGGAAAATACATTTGGGTAAATTAATGTACCCAGAAAATGTTGTGTCATCCACTCTGGTCCTTTGGAGTAAACTAGAGGAAACTTATAGCTTGCCTTAAAGGCTCTGAAGGTACTGGGTTACCAGGTCTAGGATCACATCTTATGCTAATGGAATCTTCTTGAAATGAAATATATTATCTGAGATTTGTTTTAATAAAAGAGGCTGGGTGGAGAGTGGGCCAGTTTTGGAAGAAACTAGATTGCCATATAATAATTGTTGAAAGTGAGTGTTGGAAAGTATATCCTACTATTCTCTACTTTTTATATGTTTGAAGATTTTCATAATAAGTGTAAAAAAACAGAATAAGGGGAAAAAATTCTTCTGAAGATCCTGTTCAATTTCCTGTTTAACCATTCAGAGTACCATTGGACTCTTTAAATAAATTGTTAGATACTTTCTAGAGAAAGAAAAAGGTACCCATGAGAATTAGTAAACTGGAGTCAAGAATTGGGTATTGGAAAGGACTGTGGATTAATAAGATAAAATTTCTAGGCCTTTAGTTGCCTTCAAATTACCCAAACAAACTAGGCAACAGTTCTTTTGGAAAGTAGAGGTAGAGGACAAAGACGCCCCAGAAGAATGGAAGGACAAGTCATACTGCTTTGTCTTCTGGGCCAGAAAACTTAGAGAATCTACTTAAATTAGAGGCCTGGCACAATTTTCTATCATTTCCGCATCATTTTCTGTCATTGATGTTGTCTGTATAGCAACACTGCCTGACATTGTATTCTGTACTTGTGTGTTAATTATCTCCCCCACTGGTGTATGTGCGCTCCACTGAGTGGGAGCTTAGTTCTTTCACTGCTAAACCCCTGGGATAATGCCTAACTTGTAGAAGGCACTCACTGCATATTTATTAAATAAATGAATAAACGAATATATATGCTGACAGTTTTTTATTTAAAGAGATCTGAAAAAGCAATAAAATAAATTGCTTCTTGAATTTAATTATAACTGACCAGGGAGAACTGGTAATTAATGTATATTTGACAAGAACCTTTGAAGAAATTGACCTTGTCATCAAAGAGTTCGTAATACACAAGAGAATTCTGGATATAGATATTTGTCCTCAACTTTATGAAAACAGACTTCAGAAACTTTATTGAAAGGTAGCTTGAGTTCTTCAAAGAAAAGGCAGCAGTTGATTTGTGAGTCAGATTGAAATTCTGACTGTATAAATGAGAGAAATGCCAATGAAAAATATAGAATGCTTTTTGATTAGCTAAAATCCTGATTGTTTTAAAATTGGCAGAAATGCTGTTTAATCATGGATAGTAACAGAAAAGTAAAAATGAAAGGTCAAAACCTTTGTGGACAGAAGCCTGCAAGACAATGCAGAAAGCACCACAGGGAGGGCCTTTTCGTGATATTCAGAGTGTTGAAAGAAGAAGGCTTAGATACCATTTGAGATAGATGATGAATTTTTAATAGATATGAAAATAGACTTATTTGACTGTCTTTTCTGTCAAGGAGAATTCTTTTGAAAGTACAAGAGGCAAAAAAAATAAATTACAGATAGGTTAAAGAGTTAAATATTTAAGACATCGAAACAGAACAACCAGAAAGGGCAGATGGCCTTAGACTGAGAGGAGCTGGGTTTGGAACTTGTCTCTGCCATTTGCCAGGTCCTTATGACAAATCCAGTACGTTTTCAGAATTGTTTTTTTCCCCCAGAAAATGGGAATATTTGCCTTGCATATAATTAAGTACTTAATATTTGTTATGTGAATGTGTGCCTTATTCGTAGGGTTATGAGACTTGGGAGAAATAATTTGTTTTGTAAACTAAAACAAAAAATAATACTGATGTCTAATGTTTATTTACCACTATATATCAGCCATGGTGCTCAAGCATATTATGTTGTTCTTACCTAATTTTCATAGTGGCCCTTTGAAGGTAGGTATTGTTCTTATCCCCATTTTATAGATTAGGAAACAGAAGCAAATGAAGTTAAGTAATTTGTTTAATACCACACTATAAATAGATGTATGGAGCTAGAATTTAAACCTTTGTCTGACTTCAGAGCCCATGCTCTTAATCACCACAAATGGTATATTGATAAAAGATGTCAATTCAAGTAGATTGAGGGAGAAGAGAACTGATTTCCACTGAGCCACCTTACTTATTGGTAGGAACCTTACAAATGTCATCTCACAAAGTCATTTGATGAAGATTGTTTCCATATTTCCAAGAGAAAGGATAGTAAGGCTTGGAGTAGTTTAATATATTCTCCGAAGTCAAACCCTAAAGTAAACAGGAGCTGAAATTTGAATTCACATTTGTCTGACTCCAAATGGGGAAATAAAATTTAAAAGGGAAGAGGGAATGTTTAACTTTGCTAATACTCTAAAAATGCAAGTTATAATTATCAAGATACTATGTAACATTTAATTTTTAGTCATTTATAAACACAGTAATATCTAGTGTTTGTGAAATATTTAGTGGTGGTGCCAGTATAAAGTATTACATACAGCTCCTTTGAGAACCATTTTGGCAGTAAGTATCAAGAGTCTTAAATTTTAGAATTGTTAACTCCTTAGGAAATAATTCAAAATAAAAGAAAAGCTGTATGTGTCCATATTTTCAAAATAAGATCATCTAATAGAACACCATTAAATGTTGTCCTTTTAATTGTTTAATCACCTACTACTTCATTGAGGATAGGGGAGACATTCTTATAGATCCAAATGATTCAGAGCTGGGGAGGATGTTAAGATGAGTTTGTCCGATTTCTTCTGTTGTCATAGAATCTGCTAGGTGTCAGTTCTCCTCCTCTGTCAATTGTCAGATGATCAGTTTTCAAAAAGAAAGATTTGTCAACAAACATGAAATTGAAAAGTAGTCTAGGCTAAATCATTGATACAACCTCTTTTTCCTGGCACCAGTATTCTTGATTACCAATGACCATTGACTTAATCTAGTTTTAGGTTTTAATAATTCATGTTTTGTTTTTCTTCATTTTTGTCTTTCCTTTTCTCTAGAAATGATATTTTTCAGTCTTTAGTTTACAGTTTTTCTTTGCTTCATCATCATCTTTCTCACTGCCCTCATGATCGAGATTCAAGTCACTCCATATTTTAGTTGGGTAAAACAATTTGTTTTCATGAATAGTTCATACCAGAAACATTGTTGGTCCAATAATAACTGCTGAGTGTCTGATTTTTGCCTTGTTCCTGAGTAGAGTAGTTCCTTGGGGTTGCTCAGCTTTTTGGAGTATAAAAACTCTTGCCTGTTTTCATCATGCTTTATGGACCAAAATACTATGGTAGAACTCCTTCTATAGCAGCTGCCAGGAATGATATACTTTAAAGAAATAAACTTTTAACTGAGACTTACAAATTTTTTCTTTGAAAAATTTTTTTGATTTGCATTTTATACTTATGTTGCTTCTAGTATTTGTTCGTATGTAGCTATCTAACAAGCTCTCTCCCATGTTTAATATCTTAAGTGGATAATAAAATGCTCAGCATTTAGGAGGAGGTTTCATCTTTAAAAGTGCAAGGATCTAGAAAAGTTAGTGGTCTAGAATGACATTTTGCATTTTATGTTCTTTGGAGTGCCAGTCCTGTATAATGTTCCCTACTGCAAACCATTTCTCTCTTGAATAGTCATGATTCATATAGTATTAAAATCTAAGAAATTCTGCAGAATGTTTACCAGATTTACTTGATGATAGAAGCACTTTAAAAAACAACCTTTGAGGCCATGCCACTCTGAACATGCCTGATCCTGTCTGATCTTGGAATCTAAGCAGGGTCAGGCCTGGTTATTACTTGGATGGGAGACCACCTAGCAAGACCGGGTGTTGTAGGCGTTAAAAAACAAAACAAAACAAACAACAAAAAAACCAACCTTTGACACTGTTGGGACTCTCAAAAAATAATTGGGAAATAACGTTCTATAAAAATTAGTTTAGAGTTGTGGAAACAGCCCAGGAAAGTTTCAAGCAGAAAAATGACTATGAGCTTTGTCTTGAAAATTGAGTCCACTGCACGGGTTAGCAAACTTTTTCTGAAGGCCAAATAGTAAATATTTTCAGCTTTTTGGGCTGTATGATCCCTGTCGAATTTATTTAGCTGAGCTATGAAAGCAGCCATAGACAGTGCTAACATGCACGAGCATGACTGTTGCAAAAGACTACAAAAACAAGCTGCAAACCTGTAGTGTGTGCTGCCCACTAGTCTAGTTTGTATGTGTTTCTTCAGAGGAGGCCAAGGAGAGATGAAAAACATTTTATGATACTCTTAGGCCTGCTTCAAGTATTTACAGTTGTGGTTTGTTCGCTTTAAGCTAAAGTATTGAAAGGGTTAATATGGTTAAGTCTTAATTCCTCAAATTACTCAATTCAAGTAAGGAATTAGGGAGGTAATTTATCCTCATGGTTTACATTTCGAAAGTGAACCAGGAATTTTTTTTCAGGGTTTTATATGAGATTAACTTTTTGTCTTCCAATTCATGTCCATAACATTTTGGGGGAAAGTAAAGCAAATTACTTGTGGTGTTTTGTTTTGTCTTTTGTAAAATTTGAAATTATAATTCTGTTGTTATTAAAAATCTAATGTGTTTGTTGGTTAGGAGCATTGATGGAATAGCATAAAAATATGTTGCATTTGTTGAGCATTTATGTATAAAACTATTAATAGAATTGAAAATATCTATATTCTTTCCCCTGGTAAATTCCACTTTGAGGACTTTATCATAAGGAAACAATCTGAAATCTAGAAAAAGCCTTATTCTCAGAGATACTTATTACATTATTTATAATACTGAAAAAAGTTAGGTTAACTAAATATCCAACAAGAAATGCTTACATATTCTATGTACTATCAGGCGGGATTTTATGCAACTATTTAAAGTGCTTTCTATTAATCTGTTGGATAAAATTATCACTCTTGATATAGGAAACTTAAAGACATTAATTAAAACCCGTGTATAGAAAGAAGTATGAAAGTGATTACATAAGATGACACTATTTTTCCCCATGATAAAACTTTGTGAGATTTAAATTTTTTCTTCTTTTCCATCTTTTCCAAGTTTATTGTGCTAAGCATGTTTTTATTAATGAGGATGAAATCTTTTTTTTTTTAAGTAATCTATATATAACTTTAACCTAATAACAGTTTCTTTTAAATATTCTAGAGAGTAGCAGATCGACTCTATGGTGTATATAAAGTACATGGGAATTATGGACGAGTTTTCAGGTAAGCATTACATAAACTTAAACAACAATTAGCTCTAATTAGCTTTTTGCCTGAGAACTATAATTCTTAGAAATTTTTGACTCTGTAAGGTTGAAGATATTTTAAAATTATATCCTGTAGTAGTAGGTTTCAAACTCGTTTAAAGCCTTTCTTTGAATAAAAAATATTGAGGAAATCTTACCTATTGGGCAGATAAAAGTGAAACAACTCTTAAGCAGTGAGTGGTACCTTTTACTTTCTTGGCAGAATGCCCAAAAAGATTTCATTGGAAATCATTGTCTTATAGAATTAGTGATTTTCACCTTTTTTGTCTTCCTTTATGTCACTTTATGATTTCCGAAGACCTACAAGATGGGTTTTTGCTCTGGAGGCAGTTTTAGTGTAAAGTAGAATATCTACTTGCATATTTTGGTTATTTGTAAACCTTTTGTGAATTTTTGTATGTGTTTATTAGGTCGTGAAATTTTAGAAGTTATCCAAATCTTTTTTTTTCTTTTACAGCTTCATTGAAATATAATAGACAATTAGTTGCTCATATTTACATTGTACAATTCAATGAGTTTTTTCAGTTATAGTTGGCATACAATAATATATTAGTTTTAGTTGTACAGCATAGTGATTAGACATCTATATAACTTACAAAGGGATCACCCCACTAAATCTAGTACCCTCCTTCCCCTTTACATATTTATTACAACTTTGTTGACTATTTTCCTTGTTACACTTTATATCTCCATTACTGTTTTGTAACTATCCATTTTTACTTCTTAATCCCTTCGCCCTTTTTCACTTCCCCACCTCCCTCCTGTCTCATAGCCCTCAAAACATTATCTGTATCTGAGTTTGTTTTCATTTTTGTTGTTGTTATTTATTTTGTTCTTTAGATTCCACATGTACGTGAAATCATGTGATATTTGTCTTTCTCTATCTGTCTGACTTCACTCAGCGCAGTACCCTCTAGTTCCATCAGGGCAATTTTTTTTTCCATCCCTTTCTTTTAGTCTGTGTGTGTCTTTTAAACTGATGTGAATCTCTTGTAGGCAGCGTATGTAGGGATCTTGCTTTCTTATCCATTCAGCCATCCTATTTTTTTGGAGCATTTAATTCTTTTCCATTTGAAGTACTTGTTGATAGAGATGTAGTTGTTACCATTCTTTATTCATCTTTTTGATACATGTTTTTTCTTCTTAAAGAAGTCCCTCCAATATTTCCTGTAATACTGGTTTGGCATTGATGAATTTCTTTAGCTTTTTTTTTGTGCGTGTGTGGGAAACTTTATCTGTCCTTTGACTCTAAATGATAGCTTTGCTGGATAAAGTATTCCTGGTTGTAGATCCTGGGTTTTCATCACGTTGAATATTTTGTGCCAAGCCCTTCTGTTCTGCAAAGTTTCTTTTGAGAAATCAGCTACCAGTTTTATGGGTGCTCCTTGTAGGTAACTGTTTTTCTCTTGCTGCTTTTAAGATTCTCTCTTTGGGGACTCTCTGAGCTTCCTGGGGTTGTACATCTATTTCCTTCACTAGGTTAGGGATGTTTTCCATCATTATTTCTTCAAATATGTTTTCAACTTCTTGTTCTCCCTCTCCTCCAGATACTCCTATGACGTAGATGTTGTTACATTTAATTGTGTCGCATAGGGTCCTTAAATTATTATACTCTTGGCCTCTTTTTTCTTGCTGTTCTGATTGGGTGTCCTTGGCTCCTCCGTTCTCTATCAGTGATTCGAGCCTCTTCTTCATCCACTCTGTTGATTCCCTGTAATATACTCTTCATCTTGGATAATGTGTTCTTCATTTCTGACTGGTTCCTTTTTATAATATTCATTTCCATTTTTATGTTTTTTTTTTTTTTTTATCTCTTCGTTAAAGCTTTCACTAATTTTATCTACACTTCCCCTAAGTTCATTGAGCATGCCAGTGTTTTGAACTCTGCATCTGTTATATTGCTCCATTTTTTCTGGATCTCTGTTCTGTTCTTTCATATGGTTTCTGCTTCTTTGTCTTCCCTTTTTGGCTGCCTTTCTGTGTCTGTTTCTATGTACTAAGTGAAGCTCCTAAGTCTTCCGGTCTTATTAGTACGGCTTTGTTTAGTAGGTGTCCAGTGGCACAGTCCTGACATGGGTTCAGCTGCAGGCCAAGTTTAGCCCCATCCTGTGCCCCTCTAGGACCACCTGTTAAGATTCAGCAAGTAGTCCACAGATGCTGTGCTTATAGTTGCCTCAAGAGACCATTCTAGAAACCAAGGTCAACTGCCACCAATGTGGGTCTTGGAGCTGCTCAGCAGGTAGCCCAGGATTTGCCAAGGACACAACTGGATGTGGCTTGGGTAGGGCCGTGAGTTGGGGGAGGTGGAGTTTCAGGGAATCCTCTTGGTGGAGCAACCTGTGTTATCCAGTTTGATGAAGTCTCAGCTGTGGTGGTGCTGTGTCCTCCCACTGGGAGAGGGTATAGGGCTCAATAGAGGAACAATGGAAACCACTGGCACTTCTGCCCAGAGAAAACCTTGACTCTGGCTCTCACTCCAACAACTTGGTGTCCCCATGTAAGTCCCTGGTTTCCCCCAAGCAGCCGACTGGATGCTGGTACTCAGAGCAAGCAAGTCTGTCACTGCGAAAGTCTGGTTGCGGACTTGGCACCTTTAAGAGGAATGTCCACAGCTGCTGGCTGTCACTGCCATAGCCTCTGCCCCACTCAGCCGCTTAGGACTGGGCAGCCTCGTGTCTTCGCCCCCTCCTACCTCCTACCATTGCAGGATGATTTCTTATTTCTCTCCCTAGTTATAAGGCTTCTGTTTATCTAGACCCCAGGCAACTCTGCTTGCTGTTTGCTTCACATTTCCATCACAACTTTGATGTGGTCACAAGAGGAGATGACCAAAGCCTCTATCTACACTATTTTGCTTGGCCTCCCCAAGTCTTTTAATTAAAAATAAATCTTGCTATTGTTCCATTATCAGTCCTTTCGATTGAATTAATTTAAAAATATAACTCATTTTACATGTTTAAATAGGTAATACATTGATATGGCACAAAATTCAACAGAAACAAAAGCTTATACAATTAAGTCTCCTCACTCTTGTCTGCCATCCACCCAAGTTGCCTATTCTGAGGCAACTAATATTTGTCTCTTGGTTTCTTGTGTATCTTTGTAGTAAAATGTTGTATTATAAATGTAATATATTAACTACAAACAAATCCATGTCTTCTTTTTTTTAACATAAAAATGGAGCATGTTGTATGCATTGCTATGTTTGCTTGCTTTACCTTGCTTTTTTCACTTAAAAAACTACTCTCCAAGATATATTTTTATCAGTAAATAACAACATGTTTACTGTATTGGGCTTTATATTATTATAATTATTTAACCAGTTCTTCTTGATAATTATTTCCAGTCTTATGCAGTTGCATTCAACGCTGGAATAAAAATTCTTGTTCATGTCATTTCACACTTGTGCAAATACATGTGTAGGATAAAATTCTCTAAATGTTATTACTGGGTCTAAGGATAATTGCGTTTGTAGTTTGGGCAGATATTGTCAAATTGTCCTATATAAAGATGTTAAAGTTTCACCAACAAAATATTAGTATCCGTTTCCTCACACCCTCCCGCAAACATTGTTAGCAAAAACAAAAGTTAGCAAACTTTTGTCTTTTCTAGACTGATGATGCAAAATGGTTTCTCACTATAGTTGTAATTTACATTCCTCTTAATTATGAATGAAGTCAAACTTTTTTCCTAATGATTAACAGCCATTTTGTTCCCCCTGTTTCATAAGTTGTCTATATTTCTTTTGCTCTTTTTTCCCGTTGGGCTGGTAATATGGTTTCTTAGCTGATTGGTAGGAAATCAGCTCATCTTTTAGGAAAATTGGGCTGTGGGGCAGAAAAACTTTTCCCTTCTTCCTTTCTAGATTCTTTGGTTGGTCTAATAATTACATTAGCATAAGACAGATTAACGGGAGGAAAAAACAAATTTAATTTCATACTTAAGGGGAGCCTCAAAGATATGAGACTCAAGGGCATGTAATCCTGAGCAAAGGAATGGGATAGGGGCCTGGGGCTTCAAAGGGGAGGGTGTTAGTAATTCACAGGATGTTGAGAAGAGCAGAAGTTAATTGGTATAATTCCTTTTTAGGGATTGCAGGAAAATTCACAAGCAAATTTCTTTCAAAAAGCCATGTACACATGATTAGGGATACACAAAACTCATATAACCTCAGAGCTCAAAGACCCAGGATGTATACTTTAAAAAATTTTTTGGCCGTGTACATGGTAAGTGGAGGTAAAGAGCTCTTTATAATAAAATCAAAAACCAGAGGTGTTGTAGGTTGCGATTAGTAGATAGAACACTATTGGCAGTTGATGCTAATCTTAGCTCTGTCTCTGATCAGCTGCTTGACTTTGAGTAAACCATATTAGATCTCTGAGCCTAATTTTAAGTGTCTGTCATAAAATAAAACCCTTAACTGCCACAAATTTTTTTGAAAGAATGATTTTATTGAGCCATATGCTAGCCATAAAAAGGATCAGGTCCTGGGGCATGCAGTAAAAGTCATCATCAGCAGAGCTAGATGGAGAAGACATCACAGCTGCTGTCCTGAAGCTGACTGGGCTTTTATACATTAAGTCTGGAGAAGAAACACTTTATTTTGAAAGAGGGAGTGTGAGAAGGGGAAGCAGGGCTAGTTCTGAGGTACATGCATAGTCCGTAAGGAAGAAGTGTTTGCTATTTTGGATTGGTTGTGAGTAGTAGTCCAGAAAGTTCATGCCTAAGCAAGATGTGGTGGCACCTGGTGGTACCTGATGATCTGCTACTGGATTATTTTCTCTAGAGGAAATAGCCACCTGGAAGTTAATTCACAATTTCAATTTACATTCAGGAATGTAAGCAGTCTTTTGTTGGTTTTGGCCTGCAGCTTGGTTAATCTCTCTTGTCTCTTCCACCCTCCTGCCTGCTGTAATTTAAGTTTAGGATATTTCAGAACTTTTTTCCTTGTTATTATTCAATTGTGGGGTGAAATGAGGAGACTGATTTTCAAACCCTTTCTTAGCCTGGAACTTTGCTTAAATGAAATCTTATACAGAAGTATAAACAAAACCTATTACCACAGGCCTGCTTTGGGTTGGAGGCTTTCCCTCTTGTGCCTCTATCCCTGATAAACACCAGATTGGGAGAACTAAATTTAGCTCTAAATCTCTATTTTTGTGGTAATAATATTTTCAATGCCCCAAATCTTGCTGCTTCCCACATTCTTGGAGTCTTTTCCTTTCTTTAACAAAATGGTAAAATACTAGAGCAGGAGGGACCTTGGTGGTTTTATATAGTTCAGGGTTCTTAATCCAAAAGGTGAGGATGGATTTTGAGTTGTCTATTTGTGATTTTCCTCCCTTAGGGAAAACGTTTAAAGTCTTCATAAGATGCTGCAAAGATCAGTGAACCTCTTTGATCTGGTTTATTGAGGACCATCAGCCACCCATTAAGTACTTTACTATAGTAATTATATATCTTATAAAGTTAAAGCTAAGTCCTTCTACCCTTTAATAGCTCTTCATATGTTGATAGTTTCCCCCTGTTCCCACCAAACTGGTTTTCTATTTCCAATCATAGAAATATCCATGGACCCTGGGTTAGAACCTTTGTTTAGCTAGTGCTGCTTACATTTGAATGGGCTTACAAGTCACCTAGAAAACTGTTAAAATAAATGTTCTGACTCAGTAGATAATGGACTGGTTCTTGTGATTCTGCGTTTCTAACAAGTTTCTTGGTGACGCTGCTGCTAGACCACGGTTTGAGTAGCACAGGGCCAGACCACATGTACCATGAGGGGAGAGGTCTTGTGCCTAGCAGTGGTGATATGTAGAACTCAGTACGTGTTTCTCTCCTCACATTTATTAGTTCATTTATTGGTTCATTCTTTTATTTTACGTGCCAACTATAAATGCCAAGTATTTATCAGGCACTAAACCATTTAACAAGACTATGAAGATGATTAAGTGTAAGTCATACCTTCCTTGAACTAGATTTTAGTCTTGTTTGTTAAAAAAAAAAGGAATTGAATTTGATTATCTTGACCTTGAGTTGGTATCCCATAAAAAGGTGCTCAAAGATTAGATGTATGAAATAACTTGCAGGTCATCTAATAGATGGTTGATCTGGACTGTCCATTAATTCTATTAACATGAGCTATAGTTACATTAACTCTGATTGCTACCTTACACATGGCTAGTTATGCTGGTAATCTGCCAAAACCCCTAGATTTTCTTTTTCATGTGAAGAAAGGGGCTTTGGATATGTTGAATTGGAAGTGACAAAGTTATACAAATGCAGAATTGTCTTCTTTTTCATGTGGAGAACTGAGCTTTGGATACTTCTAATTTGAAATGACAGAGGTATATAAAGGCAGAACTGTTCTCTAGGCATTAGAAATATGGCTTTAGAACTTAGATAACATAGCTAGAGATTGTTAAAAATCCATTTGGAAAAACAGCAAAGCACTAAAAGAAAGTTTAACTGTTGTTATTACTATTTTGAGAGTAAACATGAGGGAAGATTATCAAAGGGAGTCTTACTTATTTTGTTACTTAATCATAACTGTACTGTTATATATGTGATTTATGTTTGTTTTGCTTCCTTGACAATATTAAAAACCATGTGACTTTTTTCCTTCGAGTACTATAAGCATATCTGATATTTCAAGAACAGTGTCTAAAAACTATAGGTTAACAGAATAATAGTATTTAAGGTGTTCTTTTATGGTGCAATTGAAGATATTTATCATACATTCTTTACATAGCAGAAAAATTGGAAACAACCTGAATTGCCAGGAAAATGGTTTAAAGAACTATGAGTTGCCATCCGAAACTGCTTAGAACAGATTATTTTAATAATACAGGAAAATACTGTTAAGGGGGAAATGCATGGTACAAAATTACATATGTTATATGATCTCAGACACATTAAAGTCAGTAAATAAAAAGACTAGAAGGAAACATATCAACTTACGTTATCTCAATATTTTGGATTATAGATTGTTTTGTGGAGGCAACAAAAATTATGCCAAGAAACTGAGTTGTCTTTGACAGCAATTTATTTAGCACAGGTTAGCTGTGGGAATGATAATAATTTCAAAAACCAGTAGCATACAGGATAATAGCCAATAAAGAATATTTTCTAATAAGCCAAATAAAGAAATGACAAACTTTAAACAAATGACAGATTAATCACACTATAGTTCTAGGCAAGGGGAGACGAAGGAATAAAGTACAAATTTAATACGAGGTACACCTCTTTGTATGAGGCAGTGACCAACCAAGAGCTGATTTCTAGTTGGCAGCGCAAAAGCAGACGTCCCCTGTTGCTAGAGCACGTTGCTAGGGAACAGAAAAGCTGGTGTTGGCAGGCAGGCTGACTTCCTTGTGGGGCCAGTGAGCCACTGTCCTTAAGAGAGTAACTCTTAATACAGCAGGAGCTAATGCCCCAAGGGACTTTGGAGAATTTTTTGGTTAGTGAAGAGTCCCCTCGCCAAAACCAAAGCTCTCAAATAGTCCTCACTATTTGAGAGCTTATAATACTATAAAACTCAGTATTTATAATCCAGTGTCTGCTCAGCTGAGGAGCTTATCAACATAAGATGATAACATCTTAAACCACTTAATTTATTCTTGTTTCAAATCAAGTTCTAAAAAAACCTCTTTTTGTCTTTGTCATAAACAAGTGACTTAAAACAACTTTATTTAAGTAGTAAAAATGTGCGTTTGAAATCATTAAACCACTATTCTACATAGATTTATTTTCAGTTTGTTATAATCTACATGTATAGCTTCCATAAAAAGGAATTTTTATTTGCAGCATTTCACAGAAATGACAAAATGATTCATGGTTTCTGGTAGATTTTCTTATGAAATAGTAGTTCAAATTACTGAAATTTCATTGTGCACCTGTTACTGTACCATCGTCTTTTTCTTTTAGCTGTTAACACAGTGGCATGTAATCAGATGTGTTCATCAGAATCCTCTGTGGCATGTTTAAAAATATACATACTTCGGCTCTACCCCAGAGGTTCTGATCAAGTTGATGAAGAGCAGGGCCAGCATCCATAGCTTCTAAAGCTCCACAATTGATTTAAATAGGCACCCTCCCTGAGAAAGTTATTTATAAGCAGAAGCTGTTTTGTATGATACTTACTTTGCACTTAACAGTAGCAGGTATCAACTTTTGAACTAACATTTTAAAGCCTTTACTTGCTTTTAGTTGTTAAAGTTAAGGAGAAAGCAGCATATTTGCATCACAAAATAAATCCAGATACAGATACCATATATAGTTTAAAAGCTAAATAGGAAAAAACCTTTTACAAGATTCCATTTAATGTTCCATATCTAATTCATGTTTTTGGTTTTGTCTTTTTCTTCCTAGTGAATGGAGTGCTATAGAAAAAGAAATGGGTGATGGACTACAGAGTGCCGGTCATCATATGGATGTGTAAGTACCTAGAGAATTTAAGGTAAAACCTGAGGTGAAGATTAGCGGTGAAGTATTAATGATTTTCTGTTCTGTTTTTATCAGGTTTACTGGCATTTATTATCATGCTTTGTGTGTACAGGAGTTTATCTCAGCAATGCAAGGTTAATTTAACATTCAAAAACCAATCAGTCTGATTCACATATTAGCAAAATAAAGAAGAATATCTGTATGTTCATTTCAATATGTGTAGAAAAAACATTTCAGTATTCATTCACAGTAAAAATTCTCATCAAACTAGAAAAAAAGGAATTTTCTCAGTCTAAAACTTAAAGCTAATATTGTACTTAATAGCGAAATATTGATGCTTTCTTCTAAGATGAGGAACAAGCCAAGGCTGTCTGCTCTCACCACTTATAGTAAACATTGTCCTAGAGGTCTTAGTTTTGCAATGAGGCAGGAATACCAAACAAGAGCCAAAAATCTAAGAAGTAAAACCATTTTTATTTGTAGTCAACAGAATCTTTTACACAGACAATCATAAAGAATCAATCAAAATCAGAACTAACAACTGAATTTAACAAGGATGCAGGATACAGGATCAATATATAAAAAATTATTTTTACACACTAGCAACAATTGGAAAATAAAAATTTTAAAACAATGCTACTTATAATAGCATCAAAACAGAATACTTAGAGATTAATGAAAGATGTGTAAAACCTCTGCACTGAAAACTTTATATATAAACATTGCTGAGAGAAAGACCTAAATAAATGGAGAGATAAACCACTTTCATGGATTGGAAGACTCAGTAGTGTTTAATATGACCATTTTTCCCAGATTGCAATCCCTATCAAAATTCCAGTGATTTTTTTAAATAAAAATTTGTAAGCTGATTCTAAAATTTGTATGGAAATTCAGAGGACCTAGAGTAGCTAAAACAATCTTGGAAAAAAACCAAGAATATATTACCTGGCATATGTTACCTGATTTCAAAATTTACTATAAAGTTATAATTATCAAAATAGTAAGGTGTTGAGATAAACATATCAGTGGAACAGAATGGAGTCAGAAATAGACCCACATTCATATAGTCGATTTCAAGAAATGGTTCTGGAAATAACTGGATATCTACTTGGGGGGAAAAATGAACCTTGAGCCATATCTCACATCTTACCTAAAAGCTAATTTAATTTGGATCATATACATAAGTGTAAAAGTTAAAATTTTAGCTTTTAGTAGAAAACATAGGAAAATATTGTTGCAGCCTTTGAATAAGCAAAGATTTCTTAAAGAGAACATGAAAAGAGAAATTTTTAATGGTAAATTGTTCTTCATCAAAAGTAAAAACTGCCTATCAAAAGATCCTATTCAGGGAGAGAGGAATGTGGGAATTACTGTTCGGTGGTTATAGTTTCGTTTCATTTGAGGAAGATGAAAAGTTCTGAAGTTAGACAGTGATAATGGTTGTACAACAGTGTGAATATACTTTATGCCACTGAAGTGTACACTTAATTGTTAAGATAAATTTTATGTTATGTATATTTTACCACACATACACACTCACAATTAAGATAATGAAGAGGCAGGCCACAGACTGGGAATAAACATTTTCAATCACAATATATAAATAACTACAACTCAATAAAAATCCAAAAATCTAAGTATTATTTTCCTTTGGCTTATATTCAAGCTAACTGGCTACTTTTCAACCAGTTTGTTAAGTTTTTCTGCACTCTGTTGACAAAATATTTTCAATATTTGCAGGAATCTAGGATTATCCTTCCAATTGATTTATTTAAAGTGTTAAGATAAAATTAATCTCAGTACTGATAGCAAAAATCCTTTACCACTTATACTTTTCTACCCAATATTGTACTATTTATTTCTATGTTCAAGCCACCAGCCCTATGGTTCTTTTTGGTTTCCTTAACATTAACTCTTTCAGAATCATAGATTAATGAACTAAAGGCAGCTTTTCCTACTCAAAATAGTAATTCTTAAGACTTTTTTTGGGCACATAGAAGAAATTCCACAATCTACAAATGTAAATTTATAATTATGGAATATATAATTTGTCTACTTTTATAAATCCTGTAAGCACATTGCTTTTCAGTGAACTTTAACTTAAGTTTACTTATTTATTTTTAGAACTTCAGTAAACTTTACCTACATAAAGCAGGCCTGGGAACATAAACTACATTTTTCTTTTATTCCCATGCTAAGGAATCAAAGTTAATTTGAAAAAAGCATGACCATTATACCACACAGAAGTAGTAAATGAAGCAGCCCATATCCTTACAGAATTTATAATGTGATCAGAGAAGTAAAACCAGTACTCAAGATGTTACTTTGATAATGTTTAAATTCTAAATTGTTGCCAAGAGGTCAGAAGTAGAGTGATGAATAAAGACTAAAGTAGTCTGAGATTTCCTACAGGTGTTGAGACATGTACTTGTAAGATTTGGAGAAGCAATGTGGAGAGCCATTGCATTTCTGACAAGGAAAGACTCAGAACCAGGAACGAGAATGGCATGACAATGAGGAGTTTGTCTGTATCAAAGTAGAATTTGCTATTGAGAATTAGAAGGAAATAAGGTTTCTAAAATTTTCTGTAATCTTTTTTTGCTTGACTTTTCCTTTGGTAGTTTTTTGGTATTACTCTATGTAGTTACTACAGAGGAACACTGTGTACATCAGTTATACTAAACTGTTACTCTTCCTACAGATTTTGTAGCCCTTTTATAATATCTTTGAAAAAAAAATAATACAGTCTTACAGTGCATCTTCAGCTACTTGTAAGAAGGATCTTTTTTTTTTCTTTCTTTCTTCCAAGTCATTGCTGATTGAAACATCTTGGTAAAATTCAGTAAAATTGTCTTGGTAATTAAAAATTGCTACAAATGGTTCTTAATGCTTATTCTCACTTTCTGTTCTTTCTGTCACTGATAGGTAGCAAGTGGTCTATGGACCACACTCTGAATAGCTCTTCTTTAGAACACTGGCACTTTATGTCCTGATAAAAGTTCTGTAGTGTTTTGTTTGTTTGTTTGTTTGTTTGTTTTTAAACAGGTATGCGTCTTCTATTGATGATATTTTGGAAGATGAAGAACATTATGCAGATCAGTTAAAGGAGTATCTTTTTTATGCAGAAGCACTACGGTGAGTGTTGTGTTCCAGCTGTAGCCCTGTAGCTGGTCACCACTCTCTATAAATGTACTTAAAAATAGAGATAGTAAGGTGATTTTTAAACGAATTTATTATTCCACATATTGAATGAGGTTTCTTTTTATTCCTCTGTGTTGCAGAATGATAGACAAAGAAATTTAAGACAGTCCCTGCCCTTGAAACGTTATATTGACAAAAAACTGTTAGTCTCCGGCATCTGTCTGTATGTTGTTGTTTCTACTTTTTTTTAGTCTGAAGATTGAAAACAAAGAACAGATTGAGTGTGTGTATACCACTATCTGTTACTAGGTTGTATATTGCCATTTTTATTCGGTAATTTTTTCCGTAACTGCATATCTTATGTCCTCAGTAAGGTTGTAAAACTACTTACTATCAGAACTTTGTCTCCTGTGTTTATGGTATCTCCTGCAGAGACAAACAGAGCTCTGGTAGATAGTCATAGTTAATTAAGAAGTTACTGTATTTTTTCTATTTTAGAAAAGTGAATCATTTTCCTGTAATAGGTGGCTTTTGGTTGTAGCTACTTTTGGTCATTTTCCTGTCACTTTTTAACAGCAGTATAAAAATTCTGTTAGTAAAACAGCGGAGCAGTATCCATTCAGTAACCAGTTCAGTAACTAGTGTGAAAATATATTGTTAGCCTTTTCCCTTATAGAGCTTTGAGTAGTAAAAAGTTCACCAAGGTATTTTTAAGTTACAAAGGAAAAGAAAGTTGCTGTGAATACAGTGGAATTTTCTGTAGCTCTTAAAAATTATGGAAAAGGTTAATGTATATTGATAAGGAAACAAGTTCATGGTATGTAGTTAAGTAAGAAAAGATGTGGAATCACTTAGGGCATGTAGATATGTGTATTTATAAATGCCTAGCTAAAGTCTGGAAGGACATACACTATCTATTAACATGGATTTTGTCTGGATAGTGGGATTGGAGAAAAGAGAGGAATCTTGAAAGTTTTCTTTATGCATTTCTGTATTAGAACCTTTTTTTTTTTTCCAGTGAGCATGGATTACTTTTATGATAAAAAAAAAAACTAAGACATTTCTAAATAAAAAAAGAAGAACACTTTGAGATATCTTTTCAAAGAATACTCAGTGTCTATGTGAGATTATAGCATTAGTTTCTGTGTTATATGAAGATTCTTTTTTTTTAATGATGTGATAATATGTTTATCAAAAAAAATTTAAATATCTAGAAAAAGCCTATTTTTGTTTTACATATATAAAGTTTTTATGCTTAGGTTTAGCTATGTTTAGTTTTTAATGTTGGGTTACTGCCTTTAAACTTGAAAATTCTGGGTACACAAGTTTTGACCTTAGTAAACATTGTAATGCCTCCTTTTTACCCATGAAAAATATTCGAACATGTTAAAAGAGAAGCCACAAAAATTAAATAGCAACACTTTTTTTCATCCCTAGCGCTGTGTGCAGGAAACACGAACTCATGCAGTATGACTTGGAGATGGCTGCTCAGGACTTAGCATCCAAGAAGCAGCAGTGTGAGGAACTGGCAACTGGGGTGAGTGTTTTTCCACTTAGGTCTCTGGTATTGTTGTATCAAGCCTTATGTGGAATGGGCTGCAGTTGTAATACTCAGGATGCCTTTAGTTTTTACAGAGGAATAATTTGTGGGCAACTTTATAATTCTTTGGGTTGTGATCTTGATATAAAAAGATGTAAGCTGTATTATATGGTATTATAAGACATTTTGCTAAGGTTGCTCTGTGTGATAAGTATCATCTCATTTCTGATAAAGTCCAAGTGGAAAAACCTTATTCTTTGGGATTGAAATAATGACCTTTGTCAGGTTTAATTTTATAAGGTATATTAGAGAAATTTTAATTTTCTTTGAAAAGCCGTACCCAGTTAGAATGAGTGCCTCTCTCTAACAAGGAACTTTTTGTGTACTTTATTCTTGAATGCTTACAGTGAGTACTTGTGAAGAAAATTCCATATCTTATTGTATTACACTCAGGTCATTTTTACAGTCGGCCTTTTATTGGAATAAATTAGCTCTCACAGTAAGAGCACACAATCTGGAAGTAATGAAGCCCCGACAATGCTACCATTTATAATTTATAAGTCACTTCATAGTTGACAACTATGTTAGTTTTAAAAGTCCTTATAGGTTATCCACTTGCTACGTGTATGAAAAGTCATTGATATATGTGGGAAAAGACCTTTGACCGTGAAATAGATATACAGTAGTCTTAATTTATTTTTAAAAGTCAAAGGGAATTCCCAGGCCATTTTCAGGGAGCTTGGTTCTCTCTTCCTGCATATGAAGGGAAAAGTGTTTCCTTCAGTCAACTCCAGAGAGTGAGGAAGTGTTAAAGCAGTGAAGCTTGAGGCTTGGGCTTAGGCATCCTATTTTATTAAAGATGCTCAAGTCTCAGTGTGAGTTATGCCGATTTTAAGTATGTTTTCTTTGGTTTATCTCCATTTTTGCCTGTTGAATTTTATCTTTTATGTCAGTAATTTTATTTTATTTTTATTTTATTTTTCAGTTACAGTTGACATACAATATTATACTAGTTTCAGGTGTATAACATAGTAATCAGACATTTTTATAACGTATAAAGTAGTCACCCTGATAAATCTCGTACCTATCTGATACCATGTATAGTTGTTACAATATTATTGACTGTATTTCTTATGCTGTACTTTACATCCCCATAACTATTTTGTAACTACCAATTTGTATTTTTTAATCCCTTCCCATTTTGCACCTGTTCACCCAATCTCTATTGCATTTGGCAACCATCAAAATGTTCTCTGTATGAGTTTGTTTCTGTTTCGTTTGTTCATTTATTTTGTTCTTTAGAGTCCACGTATAAGTGAAATTATATGGCATGTGTCTTTTTCTGTCTAACTTACTCCACTCAGCATGATACCCTTGAGGTCTACCCATGTTGTTGTAGATGGCAAGATTTCATTCTTTTTTTATGGCTGAGTAATATTCTGTTGTATATGTGTACCACCTCTTCTTTATCCATTCATTCATTGATGGTACTCAGGTTGTTTCTGTATCTTGGTACATTGTAAATAATGCTACAGTGAACGTATGGAGGATGCACATGGCCCAAAGTAGTGTTTTGGGTTTCTTAGGATAAATACACAGAAGTGTTACAGAGTAATTTTAAAAGATATGACCACCAATATAAAGAAATAACTTGCCTAATACTTCAGCTAGAAATTTTTCATTCAGCTAAGAAGTTCAGTCAGAATTTTACCCTTTTTGACTATTTCATATTATTCCAGTGTTAGCAATCATATTAAGAGCTTCTTGGTTATAAGGCTTATGGTGCTTTTGTCTGAGCTAGGGGGGAAATGGCAAAAGTTTTCTATTTCCTTTTTTAAAAAATATTTAATTGTAAAATGTACATAACAAAATTTGTCATCTTAACTATTTCTAAGTGTGCAGTTCAGTAGTATTAAGTACATTCACATTGTTGTGCATCCAGTCTCCAGAGCTCTTTTCATCTTGCAAAATTGAAACTATACCCATTAAGCATCAAGTGTCCATTTCCCTCTTCCCCCAATCCCTGGCAACACCATTCTATTTTCTGTCTGTGAATTTCACTACTCTAGATATCTCCTATAAGTAGAATCATACAGTATTTATCTTTTTTTGAATGGCTTATTTTCTTTAGCATAATGTCCTCAAGATTTATCCATTTTAGAGCACGTGTCAATTTTCTTCCTTTTTTATGATTGAATAATATTTTGTTGTATGTATACATCATATTTTGTTTACCATTCATCTGTTTCTTTTTCTTTTTAGACTGTGAGAACATTTTCTTTGAAGGGAATGACTACCAAGCTCTTTGGTCAAGAAACTCCTGAGCAAAGAGAAGCCAGAATAAAAGTGCTTGAAGAGCAAATAAGTGAAGGAGAACAACAGCTGAAGTCTAAAAACCTGGAAGGCAGGTAAAAATGCTGAGATGTTTAACAAAGCTAGACCTGCAGACTACGTGGCAGATAGTTGCTTTATAACAATTCCCAGCTTCATTAGCATCCCCAGATATAGCCTGTTCTCCCAAAACGAAGATGGAATTCCTAAGAAATTTGATTCATCAAACATCATGTTACAGAAACAGTTGTTTTAGCGTGTGAGAAAGAGGAAGAAGAGAGTTTCAGCTTCATAATATTTTCCTGTACTTTTCAAGATTTTTATCCTTAGCACATTTCCTCTGCCTTTTCTTTTCTGTCATTTCACAAAAGCCTGATCATTGTTCAGTGCCTAGCTCTTGTGGTGTACTTTCTTTGTGAAGCCTTCTCTTATCCTCGCAGGCTCTTGTAGCACTTGGCTCATGTCACTGTAGTGTGGCAGTTTTGTACTGGATAACAGTTAGTTGTTCTGTGTGTGTGAGTCCCTGGCTAAATTATGAGGCCTTTGACATCAGTGACTATGTCTTTTTCATCTTTATGTCCCAGCGCCTTACATAGGGGTTGGCATATAATTATTCTGTAAATCTTTCTAGAAATTCAGTTTCTAAAGGTCTGCCATCACTGTTTGTTTCATTTTTCTTATTTTCATTTGGCAGTGAGTAGACCAAGGCAAAGAGTGTATCAGTGGTTTAGAGGTGGTTTTGTTAATTTTTAGAACTGCCGGCATCAAATAAGTCAAACTAAACTCTCAGAATTTTTAAAACTCTAGTTGCCGTTTAAAGCAAGGACATGAGAAATGTGATACATAATCCATCTTGTCAAAAAGAGGGTCCATTTTCCAGTGACCCCAGCAAGGCAACTTCATGTGGCATCTGTTAGGCTTGTGAGCTGGTTCAAGGAGCCATCTATATCTGTTTTATAGGAATAATTTGAAGCTGGAATTCTTACGGCAAAAATATAGATTAATAAAATGTAGAAGAATATTTGCTTTTTCTCACACTAGTTTTTAGGAAGAAAAAATAAAACTATCTTATATAAGCAATACCTTTTTCCTCTATATAGACAAATAAAAAACTCAAATGAGAACTGGTTATGTGAATTTATAAAATAGTTTACTTAAAATAATAATAATAATGGTCATACTCTTTATTTCAGAGAATTTGTGAAAAATGCTTGGGCCGATATTGAACGCTTCAAAGAACAAAAGAACCATGATTTAAAGGAGGCCCTCATAAGCTATGCAGTCATGCAGATCAGTATGTGCAAAAAGGTAGGTTTTGGTTTCAGTGAAGGTATAAGTACAGAAGTGCTTACAAAGTTCTTTAAAACTAATTTCTCCTATTTGGACCAAAGTATTTATCGTTTTCATTTTTAAAGCCCATTCTTCTCCCTTTCCAGAATATTTTCCAATTGCTTTACTTAATTTTGAAAGAAATATCATAACCAAAATATCAGTTACTGAGTCTGCATTCATCTAAAGTTCCAAATTGGTGTGTTCCATTTTATCGGTTGTATTTGAAATATATACTAACAACATTACCTTGATTATATGATGGATGTTCTTGGACAGGGCAGTAAAACACCATTCCTAACAGTGATGGACACTTTGACTGAAAAACAGCTCAAAGATTATTTTGGGAAAAATGAGATTATGATATAGTTTGTTAAAGTAAATCCTTCATTTAGCTGATATCTGTAGTAGAAGATAGAAACATAAAATTTAGCATACTAGCAAGCCAGATACTTGGGTTTTCAGAATACTTCCAAAATCACATTTTAAGCTCTTTTTTTTTTTTTTTTTTTTAAGGGAATTCAAGTTTGGACCAATGCTAAGGAATGCTTTAGCAAGATGTAATCTTGTGAAATGAATTTCTCTTCAATCAAAGTGCCCCAAAACAGAAGCACAAGTAAATAAAAAAAAATTTAAGTTGCTACCTAGTATATACAAAAATGTATGTTGAATAAATTCAGCTTTCTATAATTTGATTGTAGTTGTGTTAATATAGCACAAAAAGATGTATTTTAATGAAGATTAAATATTATAATTTGAGGTTTTGGGGACTGGTGCTGATTTCAAAAAGTTAATTTGATAAAATATACCAACAGATTGTTTGTCAGGCTTCTGAACCAATGACTGAATGTCAGGATGTTAGATAATTTCTAGATGTTCATTTCCATGCCAGCTGTTTCAAATCTGTTTATGTAGGGAGTTTTCTCCTAAGATTGGATTCCTGTCTTTACTTGGTAAGACTCATGAATCTGTTATAGGGGGTTATTTTTTCTTGCCTTATAGTTGAGCTGTTTGGTTTGACAAAGCTCAGCAGAAACTTAGTGTGAGATCTAAAATTTTCTCCCACATTCATTGATGCCCCCTGTAACATTTGCATACACTAGAAAATGCCTTCCATTTGTGTTTTACCAGAATTTTGATACTGGTCAGAAATTTTATACTGCCAACAAAGAAGACTCAACTTCTCAGATATATAATGAAGTACGTTGTTATGATCTAGGAATTGCTATATAGAAGGTTTTAATTGAGTATGTTACATATAAGCATTAAATTCTTCCCAAATAATTCTAAACCTCAGTGATGAGCCTAAATTTACTCTGCTTGGCTCTCTACACATGGCATTTCAGGGTATAAGATGTAGCATTTCAATGTTTAAGATTTATGTAGTGAACATATCTGTTAGTATCTTCATTATTAACATCCTCCTTTTCTATTGCTTGGCTGTAATTTTTGTGAAGATAAATTATATTGTTTTTTGGTATGTGTTTTTGTGGTCTATGTTCAGAAGCCAAGCACTCTCATTTTGCTAGCTTTGCTGAATCTTACATGTGCTTATTATTACTAATTATGTAAAAAAAAAAAAAAAAAAATCTCCAGTACTGTTCAGCATTTGACTTTTTTACATGTTTAAAATGTTGCAGTTTTTTTTGTGCTGTTTGCCAAACTTATACAATAAATAAATGAAGTATCGTGCTGATTTTCATACGATCTCTATTATTTTAACAAACTCATATGTACACATTAGTACCTGATGCCCCATGAGAAAATAATACATGCCATAGTATGTTTTGAAGTATTTAACTATAAATTTGTCTTATGCCAAAATACTGGGTTTTAAAAAGTATAATGCTAAAATGAGATACAATTTTTAAAATTTTACCTTTTTATAAAGATAAAATTGTTGGAAGCAAAAATCTCTATAGATACACATTTTCCATTGAATTGGGTCTCTCTTGACTCATGAAATAAAATAACTCTCCGATTTGGCATTTAAAAATCAAAAGGCTTATTCTCCAAACTAACCTTAGGCTAAATGCAAAATATATTAGATTTTTTTTCTACTAGCTGATTTAATTTGAGAAATTAAATTACCTATGTTTTCAAAGATGAATTATGAAAAATATTTTATTGTCTTTTCTAAAATATACAAATATTCAAAAAATATATACAAATATCCACTTGGTTGTATGTATATTTAACTAGGAATATTTTGACTTGGGTTGATTTTGAAAAATTTATTTCATAGCATAATCATTCCTTTAAGAAAAACTCTTAAAGTAATTTTGTGATGGAAATAATTTTTCGTACTATCCAGAATAAGTATAAAGAAAATAATCTATATGCAATAACTCTTTTGGTATTTAAAAATCAGAATTCAAAAAATTATTAAAATGGAGAGTTTAGATTTCCAAAGGTAAATATAAAGAAACTAAAGAAAAATTACTCATTACATTAATGCAAATACTTAGTTACAGGAAGATTTCATCTTGACAGTGTATGCAGTTGGTATAGTTGAAGCATTAAAATTAACTGAAGTCACACTTATCTTTCATTTTCATCCAAAAACTTGAGCATGGATGAATGAGTCACTAGTAATTACAACATAGCGTCCAAAACAGGAACTGAGGGTTCTTAAAATTCAAGCATCCTTAGAATTAACACACACCCAGCTTGGAATGGAATGAAAAACCAAGAGTTATGTAATGGGAATGCTAAGCTTTTAATATCTTTATAATCATTCTTTAAATTTATACACATATTCTCTTCCTGGATAGAATTTACTGATTCTCCTAAAAAAAATTTTTCCTAAAAAAGATTTAATAATTTCTTTCACAGTTGAATAACACACAGAAATGAAATAATAAAAGGCCAAATCAGTAGAATTACACTTATTTCCTAAATTATATAGTTTTATTTAGATATTTGAAAGGAAGGAAGAAACTAGAAAAAAGTAAGCAAATTAAGTCCAAAGTAATTGGAAGAAATATTAAAAGAAAGCAAAAATCAATGATATTTAAAACAGAGAAATAATAGAGTTAACAAAGCCAAAAGTTGGTTCTTTGAGAAGATAACGTTAAACCTCTAGCAAAAGTGGATAGAAAAAGAAAACAAATTATCTCTTATCAGGAATGAAATGGGGGATGTTATAGATCTTACGGACATTAAAAGGGTAATAAGGAATGTTGTGGACAACTTTAAACCAGTAAATTACATGAAGTCATTGAATTCTTTAAAGAATAATAGCTTACTAAAACTGATATAGATGAAATAGAAAATCTGAATAGCTTTATATCAAAGAAGCTTTATATCATTTTTGTGTTATCAAAAATCTTCCTACAAAAGAAAACTCCAGGTCCAGATGGCTTCATTGGTGAGTTTATCAAACAATTATGGAAGAAATAGCTTTAGTTCTACACAGACTTTCAGAAAATAAGGAAAAGGGACTACTTTGTTCTCAAAACAATTTTTTTTAATTGAGGTAACATTGGTTTATAACATTAACTAAGTTTCAGGTATACAATATTATAATTTGATAGTTGTATACACTATAGCATGCTCACCACTAAAAGTCTAGTTTCCATCCATCACCATACATTTGACGCCCTTTACCTGTTTTCTCTTCCCCTCTGGTAGCCACCAAGCTATTTTTCATATGTATGAGTTTGTTTTTATTCATTTTTCTTCTTTTTAAAAAATATTTCACATAAGATTGAACTCATGTGTTTTTTGTCCTTTTCTAGCTAACTTATTTCACAGCATAATATCCTCATCCATCCATCCATCCATGTTGTTGCCAATGGTAATATTTCATCTTTTTTTTTTACTGACCAAGTGGTATCACCAATTTTCTTTTTATGAGAACAGTATTACCACAATACTAAAACTGGCTAAAGACATTTCAAGGAAAGAAAGTGACATATCAATATACATCATGAACATAGATACAAAAATCATTAAACTATTAGCTAATTGAATCCAGCAATATATAAAGAGCATAATACACATGACCAAGCAGAGTTTATCTCAGAATACAAGGTTGGTTTAACAATAAAAGTCAATTACTATAATCTACCATATTAACAAAATAAAGAGAGTACCTCATGATTTCAATACATACAGAAAAAGCACTCAACGACAATGATTTATGATTTAAAACAGCAAACTAGGAATAGAAGGAATCTTAGTCTGATCAAGGGCATCTATGGAAAACCTACAGCTGACATCCTACTTAATGTTAGTAAAGTTAAGTCTATCACTAGACAACTGCCCACTAGACTATATGTGTCCCCATTCACCCCTCTCCTCCCACCAATGCCGAAGTCCCTCCAGCTTTCACCCAGTCTCCCTCTAACTGTTCCCCTCTCCTATTGTTCCCTGTGCTCATTCCTAAGCCTTTTTCTCAGAATATTTGTTGAACCCTGAAGTAGGTGGATGCTCCATACTTGAAGCTCTGAGAGTGTTATCGCCAGATGGATACTTCAAGTCCAGAAGATTTGGGGAATCCGTTGATTCAACAGATAAGGTAGAACTAGTCAATTTAGTAGCAAAAGCCCAAATGAATACAACATCCCTTTCACACACCTATGTGATAGAAACACCATTCAGCAGAAGACAAGGAGAAATTTCTTAATACTCCGTTGCTAAAGCATTGATTTCAGAGGATATAGCTAACATGCGTCAAATGCTTATTACTGAAGCCGGAACTGAGGCACAGCGTTGCAATGTGGCTTGCCCAAGGTCCTATAGCTGGTAACTGGTAGAGCCAGAATTTGAACTCAAGTAACATGGCTCCAGAGCCTGTATTTTTCAGGACTTTTCCCACTGGGAGGAGCAGAGGTCTTTTAAGTGTCAGAGACCTGGAGGAGACCCTCTGAGACAAACCCACGAGACTGGGGAGGGTTAGAAAAGGTAACTTTCGTGATGTTCAAATTGCAAGCTGCTTGAAAATGTCTTCGGTGCTACTGGGAATGGGAACAGGAAGAGGAGACATGAGAGTGAGGCAGGCTATGGTGAAGTACTAGACTAATTCACCAACTTGACTGTGCTTGTGAATCACTTGGGGAGCTAGTTAAAATGCAGATTCTGATTCAGTAGTTTGGAGTGGAGCCTGAAAGTGCATTTCTCATAAGCTCCCAGATAATGTCATATTGTCAATGTTATTCGTCACTGGGTAGTGAGGTATTAGTGTGTGTGTGTGTGTGTGCACACATACATACATACCTATCTACCTGACCAAACCAAGATCCATTTAGGTATAGTTATTTAGCAAATATACAGAAATTTCACAGTTATACGAAAGAAAGGAAAATTAAATAATACCAATTTTCTAGTACAATTCCAAGTTTATCAAAAGCAAAATGTGAAGCCTTAGTGATAAAGATGAGTAGATGGATAATAATAATGCAAAAATCAAGACTGAAACTCAACTCTATGGTAATAACAAAAAGTATTAGTGAGACTTTCATTAAGTGTTGTGTAAGACTTCCTGTTAAATACAGTGATTTAGACATGGGTTTACCTTTGTGCCTTCTCAAAATTCCTCTAAAATGACAAGGATTTTTTTTTAAAGTACCATTAAGGACAAAGGGAACAGAAGAGACAACCATGTACAAGAAATGCTCACAAAATTTTGGAAGATAAAAAAATGGAGGAGTGCTAATTGATTTAGCAAAATGGTGGCAGCTGAAACTTGCATGTCTTATGGTGGGGCTACTAATGAGAAGCAAGCTAATTTGCGCAACGGAATCCCTGAAAGACTCAAGAATTAGAAGAAACATATACTGGTAAGACTGAATGGGTGTGGAGTTAAATAGTTTGAGTAGGGGTTGGTTGAAAGTCTGTACCAAGAACAGTTAGATACCCAGGCCCTGACACTTTTTCCACATGCTTAGGAGATCACCATTGCACATTACCATGACATTTCAGATTAGTAAAAGTTTCCAGGAAAACACTTAATATATAAAGAATTATCATCAAATAGCATCAGGCTTCTTAACAGCAAAATTTCTTAGATGCCAGAAGAGAATAGAATAATGCTTTCAGAATTCTGAAGAAAACTGATTTCCAATCTGACAGTCAAACTGTCAATCAAGTGTGAGGCAGAATAAAGATGGTTTTGGATACGGTTTCAAAAAATTCCATTACACTTTTTCTCAAGAAGCTACTGGAGGACGTGGTTCATCAGAACAAGAGCATAGACCAAAAATCAGGAAGACAGGGATTACAGAAAATAGGAGGGCCAACATAGAAGAAAGATGAAAGGTATGCCCAGGATCAGGTGAAAAGGGATTCTAGGAAGACACTGTCCAGAGTGGAGCCAGAGATGGAGGGCTCTGGGAGGATCACCTGGGAAAAACTTAGAGTTGTAGGCTTATGTATAGATTTAACAAACATGGAATGTTGTGTTTGGAGGCCACTGGAGTGGGGTGATTTAGCCATAGATAGAAAACTAGGCAATAAAAACACAAAGCTATTATAATATGAGAAAAATAAATGTTTTGCAAGAGGAGACTCATAATCAGAATATACTACATGACTGCTGTTAAAAATATTTACATAATTAAAATCATGGTGCTTATCCAAACATGGGTAACAACTATTGTGCTTGTTGAGAGGGGAGGTTAAGACAGCCAAATACTCATCTAGTACGTCTTGATAAATCTAGACCTAGTACTAGAAACATTGTTTAGGATTACA